CTACAAGGTCGCCAACGCGAAGAAGGCCAGGATTGCGGATGAGGCAAAGGAGAAGTACACCGAGGCGGAGCTGTTCAAGATGGGAGACAGGTCGCCGCTGTTCAAGTATGTGCTGTGAGCAACAGGAGCGGAAGTTGCTGCGAGCGTTGGAAGGAAGATTGTGATTATTGCTTTTTGTAGCTCTGCTTTTGACACCCATATCTGCTCGTATACCCAATACCATTACGCTTTCCTGGTAAACACCTTGCTTCGCTCAAAACTACAAGTTCGGAACACCCAGTGACTCCACCAACATCCTGACGCAGTACACATCATCTGTCTCTCGCCGATACCAAAACAGCAGCCAAAGTCCCAGCACACCCCATCAAGATCAACGCAACAACCACCGCAGCGATACAGTCAAACTTCCTCCGGCGGTTGCGCGCCTCGACGGCCAGCTCTTGTCTGAAACTCCGAGCATAGAAGCTCCTCTGACTGTCCATAGTTCTTGGACGTTCCTTATCGAATTCGTAAACGGGCAGCGCATTCTCGCGCTCGCGTCTGCAAATTTGGGCGAAGTAGGTGTTGTTAGGAGGCGCCGGGATATTGCATGATGATGGCGGCGCGGTGCTGATTGCGTGGGAATATGGCGGAGGATTGGGAGGGAGCGACGCCGGTCTGGTGCGCTCGATTTCGCGCACGAATTGAGGTTTTGGGGGGAGCATTGCGTCGTTTATGACAGGGGGCTCAGGGTGAACCGGGAGAGTCTCGCTTGGCTCGGTTATGACAGGAGGTTCAGGATGAGCTGGAAGAGTCTCGCTCGTGTCGTTTACGACCGGAGGTTCCGGGTGAACCGGGAGTGTTTCGCTTGTGTTTGTCATGATGAAAGAAGTTTTGGGTATTCAAGGAGATTGGGAGCTTTTTTCTGATAATTATGAGAATTAGCCATGGAAGAATTGAGGTTGGGGTGGCTGGCTTTATTGTACGACCCGTTGTCGAGGCTCGCGGCTGGTGTAGGACGGATTCGGGATGTTGCAGCGTTGAAATGTGGATGCTGTGGTGATGGGACGAAAACGGTCGTACAGCGACGGCTGCGAGCGTTTACGCTCCAACCCCCGCCAATTCTGAACGGATGTCTAGCTATAGATGTTCATAGATGGTCTGATGAGGTCATGCGTCAGATAGACCATTTTCTGATGAAATCTGAAGAACATGCGCGCATCCCGGAGGGTCGGCGCGGTAAGCGGCCAGTCACACGGAGATGTGGGGCCGCAGCCACCGACGCAAGCCGCATTCTTCAACCATGGTCTCGATAAGTTACTGAATAAATTTGGTTTCAGGGCATTCCAACACCTATTGTTAACTTGCAGACAAAAGAAAAGCGCCGTAGACAATGCGGCAAACGAATGAACACGCGCCTAAACGCCGTCCCCGACCTATATGTACATGCATCAAGTTATGCCGTCTCATGCATCGACCTCATCTTCGTCCAAGAACCCTAGGCCGCTGTCATGCTTTCTCCTCTTCCTCCCGGATACTCTCGTTACCAGCTCCCCGGAAAGCAGCCCCTTCTTCACAACAGTCCCGCCCGCAAGCGGCGACTTTGACACACCCGCCGCCGGCTCCATCACCTTCTTCGGCGTCCGGCCTGCCGCCCTCGGCGGCGTACTAGTCGGCGTCGTCGACTCCTCAACCTCATCCGCCAAGAACTCCCTGCTCATGCTCACAACCCTCTCCAGCTCCGCCTTCATCTGGTCAATAACCTTCTTCGCACCAACCCTCTCCTCCGCCATCTTCCCCTCCAGCCCCTTCTTCTCGATCCTCAGATTCTTAATGCTCTCATGCGCAGCCCTCAAACTCTCATTCACCCTCTCCACCTCCTCCCTCAGCTCCGCGACACGCGCATCGCGCACCGCCAGAGCCTGCCCGCTGCGCCGATTCACCGATGCAACCTCCCTCACCCTCCCCTCCTCGCTCTCGTCAAGCCTCCTCCGGAACGCCTTCGTCTGCGCCACCGCATCAGCCAGCTTCCCCTCCAGCTGCGCAATCACATCCTCCTTGCTCCTTAGCACCCGCCGCCCAACCTCGATCTGCGCGTCCTTCGTCGCCATCGCGTCGCGGTTCTCCCCCTCCATCTTGCCAATCACGCCCTCGAGCTCCATCACGTCGCGGATGTACCCGTTCACCGCGCCCTTGAGCCGGTCCACGCTGACGCGCAGCTCCGCGGCGGCGGCGTCCTTCTGCGCCAGCTGCGCCTTGGCGCGCGCGAGGTCCTCGTTGAGGCTGTCCATCGCGGCGACGCGCGCGCCGAGCTGCTGGCGCAGGGAGAGCTCGAGCTGGTGGTACTCGTCGATGGCGGCCTCGTCCTCTTTCCCGCGCTTGGCGAGGTCGCGGAGGCGGGTGAGGAGGAGGTCGAGGACCTCGGCGCCGTGGGAGGAGAGGGGGAGGGTGATTTCGCCCGGGGTGAGGTATTCCAGCTCGAGGCGCGCGGTGCGGAGGGAGGCGGCGAGGGAGGTGATGATTTCGGAGGCGTCGGAGCCCGGGAAGCCGAGGTCGCTTAGGGAACTGTTAAGGTCGAGGAGGGCGGCGGTGCGGTCTGAGACTGTGCGGAGGAGGTGGGTGACTTGCTCTTCGATTGTTTGCAAGGGTTCAGAGTCGCCAGTGGCGGAGGGGGTGAAGGCTGATAGCCGGTCTGAGAGGCGGGTGGTGAGGGAGGTGTAGGATTCGAGCGTGTTTGTGAGTTTTGACATCTCGACGCGAAGGGAGGTGAGTTCCTCTTGGAGGGAGTCCTTTTCTGTGTCGCGGAACGAGGTTTGCACGCCGGCATTGCAATGTGACGGAGGCGCGATGGATCCTCTATGAGATGACGGTGTCATCGGGCCCTCGGCGACCGGACTCGTGAGCGGCGGAGTGAGGAACGAAGACCTCACCCTCGTGGGGGTACCGCACACAAACTCCGCCATTGTCGCGTCTCCAAAGGCAGTCTCTTCAGCCAGCATCCTCTCGCCCACAACGGACTCCGCCTCGATGGTGTCCGTCTCCATGTAATCATCCACATAAGGACCCCTCGCCGCGAGCGTCCAGTCATAGCAGCTCTGCCCTCTCACTCCGGAGCGATTCGACAGCTGCTCCTTCAGCGTCTCGACCTCCCTCTCAAGCCCCCAGATGCGCTCCATGTCAATCACGATGGTCGCGTTCTGCAGCTCGTAGATCTCGGCGTCCTTCTCCTTGAGCTGGGCCTTCAAGCCGTCGATCTCCGCCTTGGTCTCCTGCGCGCGCCGGCGTTTCTCGGCGGTGATGGTGTTCATCTCCTCGCTGAGGCCGTTGCGCCGGATGCGGCGCTGGACGCGGCCGTCGAGGACCTGGCGGAGGGGGAGGAAGTGGACCTCGCCGCTGTGCGGGAGGTCGGATGCAGGTGTGCCGCCGCTGCCGGAGGGTGTGCGGGAGACGGGGGCCGAGTGCCGGCGCGAGGTGCTCGGGGTTGCCTTGTTGAGGGTTGTGCGACGGATCATGGGGGTGAGGCCGGTGGAAGACAGGCGGGATGTCGTCCGTGGTGTCGAGACAGGGCCTGGGTCTGAGAAGCGCACTTTTCTCTTGGATGCTCTGTGTGGTGTTGATACTGGCGATGACACCGAAGCCGAGGCAGCGGAGGGAGCTCCGGCTGCGCTTCGACGCGCGCGCCGCAGCGCAAGTGGAAGCTCATCGCTAGACATCGTGACCACCGTTTCCAACTCAAACGAACGCAATTGACCAGACAAATTTCACAAATGACAGAACGTGGTATGCAAGAAAGATGCAAGTCAGACCGACCAACACCGGGTTTCACGACCTATTAAACGGGCCTGGTGATCTCTCTCCCTTGTCGCTTGCAATGTTGATCGAGCCGTGGTGCTGAGAGTTGTTATCGCTACCATTGTTTACTCATTTCCTATCGCGGCCTAGCGTGCCCCACCAGACCGCAAATCGGCCCCGCCCGCCGCCGCGACCCGCACCCGCGGCAGCCAATCGTTTTCGCTGCTGCCGCGCGCCGCCAAACAACCCCGACGCCGTTTGCGAAATGCGGCTGTTTGGATCGCGACTTTGCGATTGTGTGGCGCGTTGGGCACGCTTGGAACGTCGTTGGGGTTGAGAGTCGCGAGTTGGTGGTTTTGACGCGATTATTGGCTCAGCTGAAACTTTGCCACTGGGTTTGAGATGGATTTCTCATGGCAACGGGTTAGGTTGCTGGGTGTTGAAGCCAGAGCTTGGGAGCAGCACAGATTGACCGAAATTCACCACAACGATGCTTTGCGCCTTGCAACTGCGGATGTCCTGGCCTCTGGATTGAATGCGCATCTGAAAGCCAGACGCGATTGTTGTTTTCTCGATTCCCTCTCCCAAATGCCCTGTCCACGCTAAGGCAGCCCGTCATTGGATGACACCCTGCATCGACCCGCACCACCCCTCAACCCCCCTTTGGATCCGCTTCGCTTCAACCCTCTCTCCACCACACACATCTCCACGACCCTCCCCGCAGAGAATCAAATTCCCTCTTTTCTATGCGTTCATCAACAACAAATGGTTTCGTGGTGTAGTTGGTTATCACGTCAGTCTAACACACTGAAGGTCTCCGGTNCCAGTGTTCCACTGAAGGTCTCCGGTTCAAGTCCGGGCGAAATCAACCCTTGGGCGAATGGGTTAGTGGTATAATACTCGCTTAGCATGTGAGTGGTCCAGGGTTCGATTCCCTGTTCGTCCATCTTTTTGTCCTGGCGAGCGGTGGTGATGTTTAGTTTTAGCGGTTTGGGCTCCAGGTCGATGTAACTTGCGGTGAATTATTTTACAAAGTCCGCAAAGTGGATAGGGGTGGGTCAAATCTAAGTATGTGAGACTGTCCAGCCGTCACAACAAGAATATCATGCGATCATTGTGTTGACGATTACAATATGAAAGTAAGATCGTGTTCCGGATTTCAATCACACACTTCGTAGTCCGTTGTATCGCTTCGCAGTTCAGAAATCTCTTTTCAAATTACGTACGATCTATCCAGCCTGTTTCTCCGTAGTTACAATCTCGAATATTGGAAGCGGAAAGGACTCCGTCACGTACATTTCCAAGTGATAAGAATAAAAGAATCTTGCAAAACGCACCCACACGATTTCGTCCTCACACAGCTCTTGTACTATGCCGTCATATGTCTTCCACTGTCTTAATCTCGCCATTGCAATCTCTTCGGGATCGGTCCATGAATTTCGGAGCCAATATCTCCCCTTCACAATATCTAGTTTGTTGCCGGGCTGTGCAGCCGACATAAGAGGCATGCATGGAGTGATCGTGAGGTGACGCGCCTGATGAAACATCATACCGAAGCTCGTCCGCAGGACATCCGAAGCTACGCATGCGTTCTTGTGCCTATTGAACCACCATTCAGTATCAATACGGTTCACGTACTCCATGAGATAATGGGGAATCTCAGCACACCGACTCCGCACGACAGTGACTGTAATCAGTGGGTTGTCGTAAAGCCATCTACTGCGAAGTCCCACAATCCTGTCTAGCCCTGTCTCAATGCTCCCTTCGCACCTGGGGCAATTGCAATACATGGCGTCGCCGCCATGTTTCCCCTCCGGATTCCGGCATTGTTTCTCCGAAGGGCTTTCTGATTCGCGCTTCATGGCCTCTTTTGCCACCAGATTGCCAATTCTGACAGTGACTTGGATGTACTTGAGTATTGAGATTCCGGCGTTGGGAGCGCGATTGCTACTCTCGAACGATGCCTGCATCAAACGATGCAGCGTCTTGTACACAGCCGCGCGAGAACGGCGGCAAGTGTATGCTAGAGGACATGAATTTGCGATCTCCGTCACAACCTCGTCGCTAGATAGGAACTTGTCTTGGGGATGCCCGAAAGACCGTCTGTCTTGATAGCAGCAAGCTTCGGCGTCGCGTTCGTTCATATTAATTGCATAGAGGAGCATTGATGTTCCAAGCTCAAAAATGGCATTTTGTATCTCAAAGGGGAGTTTACTGATCTGTATCATCTTCATCGTCGGTTCGGTAGCCGTTGTGTGTTGGTTACATCCAGTGCTTCGGGCACAGGAATGAGTGGAGGATCGTAATCAGGAGAGCCCGCGGTGCGCCTTGGTAAGTGTGTCTTCCGCATCGCATCTGGATGACCCCACGGTGTTGTGACCATGCTGGCGAATGGCGCTATCGAAAATGCGTCATGATCGTGGAACACGCTGTGGGATACCTCCGGCGGGGATTTGTTTTCCACTGTTGATGTGCTAGGAATCTTTGGCGCAAATGGAGTTGCGGGGATGCTGCCAGTTAGTCTTCTCATCATAGCCACCCATTTCACCACATCGCTTGCCCCTCCATATTGAGAGGAGTCGTCACTACCGCGGGACGCTTCGAGGTACGACGGACGAGGTTTTGCTGTTGTAGCGATGGTTTGGCCTTTCATAGATTTTCTCATGTTCCAGTTGAAGTGACTTTGATAAATGGCGATCAAGTGTTGACTGTCGAGGTCAGAATTGTATGTTGGTCATGGTATTCTGAGCTTTGGTGAGTGTCACGACTGATATACAGTAGTGCACGCGCCTCGGAGATGGACAATACTAATCAAGGTAATTACGGATTGATAATTATCAGTGGACTCGAATTGCAGTATTTTAGGTTTCTGGAAAAATGTGATCATCATACACGGCAAACACCTGGATGTACGGAATCCTTGATGTTGTTTCACGAAATTAAGTCACCTGAGACAGAAGATTTGAATTTCCGATATGACTGGAACCTTCATGTTGAGTTGAGAAACGCCCACTGGCCTCTTGCAATATGCTACTGGGAAATGCAGAGTTCATGATTGATCCATCAATCCTTTGAATTTCACTACGAATAACGTTACGTGGAGAGAGTTTCTAGCACACCCATCATGGAGATTTCATTACAGGAGAATTGCAAGTAACAGAACCTCGACTAGCGAGCCAGCTGGACCCATTCATAAGGCGAAAACATCATACAGGTTTCCCGATATAGGTCCGGAAGTTTCAATTGCGCGGAAGGTGACTTGAGCATCGCGAAAATCTTGAGGGATGGACCAAGACAATAGTTCCCGTCTTGATATTTACAGCTTAATTACAATATTAGCGATTGCCCAAGTTCTATGCATCTCGTCCAACTGGCGGCCATTTCCTTGAGTCTTCTCCCACCTCCTCCCACGTAATATTTAGACCACCGCAACAGATAGCTATTTGCGATACCCATAAAGTGATGTTCTCTACATACCATTAGCATCGAATCAATCTCAATGAGTCTTTACGAGATAACATGGATCGCCACGCGGGTTTCTCACCTTATGGTTGAACTCGAATATGGGTAACGGGAAATCCTTCGTCGCGTAGGCCGCCATCGTGGTCCAACCCTCCTGCTCCCATAGAGACATCAGGCGGCGTTGTAGATATCTATATCTCTCCGCCTCCCTCAGCTTCAAGACCTCAAGTTCTTCTTCCACAGCCCCAAGCTTTTGCAAGCGGTGTTTGCTGTCCACAATGCCTGGTGTGGCGGGTTGCGCACTCAGCATGAAAGGTAGACGCGGCGTGATGGTGAAATGCGTTGCCCGGGGGAAGCTATGCATGAATTTTCCCAACAAAGGAGACACCCTAGCTATTCCAGTGTCTCTGTCCCACCACCATTCGGCGTCGACACGATCTACTTTGTTTTCGAGGAAGGCGGGCAGTGTAGTATACCAGTCCTCCAAGTCTGCGACCGGTACAGAGGGGCTTTCGTACAGGCAAATGCTAGGCAGTCTCAAACACATGTTGGGATCTTCCTCATCCGAGTCGGAACATGCAGTGAAGTGGTTTCGATTATTCACCATGTCTCTTAACCTGATGGTGATGTGAATATCCTCGAGGATCGCGAACCGGATTACCGGTCTTTGTTTATGGGCCAGGCGATGTAGTCTTCTGAATACGGCGGCACGGGAACGGCTGCAGGTGTATGCTAGAGGACAAGACTCTGCTATGTCCTGGACCATTTGTTCATTGGAAGAAATGTTTATGTAACTGTCGCTGTTATGGCGAACATAGAGCGCGACATCTTTCACAGCCACGTGGATTGCGTAGATGATCATCGACGTTCCCATCTCGAATATTGTATCCTGTATCTCGAAGGGCAGCTTCGAGATTTGCATCATTTTTGTCTTCGGTTCGGATTCGTGTCGTATGTCGACCACGTTGCCGTGAGGTATGGGAAGTAACTCGCCCTTGAGAGGAAACCAGGAAAGGCGGACCTTGTTTTCATCAGGTAACATGCTCGAGAACGGCGCTATTGCCGTTGTGCCATGATTGTGAGCCAGACTGATTAAAGACTCTAGCGGAACTTCGTCACCCCCTGTCGATGTACCTGAGATGTTTGACGATGAAGCAGGAATACTTGCGAGAGCCCTTCTTACCGCAGCCACCCACTTGGCCGCGTCGTCATTTCTCGCCTGTTCGGATCGGGAGCCAGCGGGCGCAGTTTCGGCACATAATGGACGCGGTCCTGTTTCTTTAGATGTTTTGGAGATATTCTCAAAACACTCCATCTTGTGTTCATATCGAGTTCGGCGAAGAGTATTTCGATGTCGAAATTGGGGACCCTAGGTATGATCTTGGAATTCTAAGCTCCATTAGCGAAGAGATCTCCGAATTTAAAGCAGTCATTTGAAGTGGGTTCCAACTAGAAAGGTGTTCAAGAATGAAAATGGGCTTGAATGATGTTATCCAGGTTTTTGCGGCCACGAAGCAAATGTACCCGGATGGTATCTATGATCATGACAAAGTGTCTACCGACTTGAAACTCACTCGTCCTAATTATTCTCGTCATATGCCGAAAAATGATCAACGAAGATAGACTGCCAATGCAAACCTGCGATTCTATTGTCTGCATGCTATCGAGGGGCGAAGAGACTAAACTGGCGGCAAAGCTACCATCCACGCTATTACACTGGTGTAAGAATGGAATCGCAGCTCATATCACGTAAACGTTGGCTCTTCATAAGAACATAGACCGTGGCCATAAATGCTATGCCAAGTCCTAAAAACCGCAATTCACGAACTTCGCTATTTACGGCATGACTAGATATACACGGGTCGAGAGTAGTCATTCATAGCGGCTCCTGCCTAGAGGAGGTGTTCCTTATGCCACCGTCATCTTAACTTTGCTAGCTTCACTCGACCGCGACAACAGAGACCTCATGAAGGGATTATGCATAGCGAGAGTGTCTTGTATGAAAATTGCGCGATCATCAGCTATGGAGAGCGCTTCCCAAGAGTCTTTAAACGAACGCCTCGCGACAATACCCCAACAAGTTGTATCCGGTCACACGCCCGTGAATATCCACTTCTCATCGTAATCAGACTTCACAATCATTTCGAGTCGAGTTTAAATGGCTTTGTAATTGAATACCGAGGTGCGCACTGCATCAAAACGCCGGGTTTACCTCATCACGGCATTATGGCAGAGTTTCGTTAATCAACTGGACACAGTCTTTCATCTATGTGTAATTAGACTTGCCGAGACATTACCCCAAAATGTTATACGTGTCACGACTACGACGGGCATCGAAGCGAAGGATGCACAGGCTCAATATGCATTTTTACTTCCAACCTCCCGGCTCAATTCATCCTTCCAACTGAGGTCAGACAATGCAAACGGGCCGGACCTTCGAAATCCATCGTGTTGAGAACAACCAGTCACAACACCTGCGATGCATCGTGAAGGATTCAACCAGCCGCTTACATCGTACTTAGTGTGAGCAGCTTTTGCGACAGTTATCGTGAAATTCGACGACCTGCGCCAGCGACCAACCAACCAGGCACCAGTGAACCACACAGAGTTCAAGCCGGTGCTTACAGCCCATACTCTAGCTCAAAAGACCGGACGGTCGAGAGGAACGTGCAAGTTTCACCCATCTAGAACGGACCTCGAGCTCGCCAGCACGCGCAGCCACGTTATCTCCGCAGCCCCAACCATTCCCAATCCTCGCAACACCCTAACCACATCAGTCTAGAAAGCCTCGCCGAAAATGACCTAGACCACAAAGCCAGCTCACATCAGCCGCAATAATCCCAATCAGCTGGCACGCTGTGCAGTAGCGCAGCTCGCTTCTGCAGTTCTGGGCCCTTTACAGCCTGATAGGCACTGCCGTCTCGCCGCCTAAACCCGCCTCCTTTCTCTCCATGTCCCGCATCGGCAAATTCGCGTAACATGGTAATTGAGACAACGCGTTTTCTGTTAAGCTAGCGCCGAAGCCAAGAATCCTTCGTGGCGTCTCCCTGAAAGGCGAAGGCGGCGCGGTGATTGGATACCGCGTGGCTGGACCTTTGACGTTCCGTCAGCTTAGGTGTGCTTCCATGCCGTATTCGATGCTAGCTTCAGCTCCTGACACGGTAGTCACCTCAGCTCGGCACAATGCTGCCAGTTGCAATGTCTCCGAGCCTTCACATAGTTCTCGGATAGCCTGTGTGCGCAACGCTGTGCGACGTGTAGATAACCAGAATTGGCGGGGTGGCCAGCCACTATCCGTGGACGGCAATTCGGCAGAGTTCACAGTGCCCAAACTCTCCTCGCCGCGCGGGGAGGCTTCCCGTAGTGCCGTATTCTTGGGCTGTTGTGTAACATCCCGCCGTTGCCGAGTTCGATTTAAATCAGGTTGGGTTCCCTTCATACGATCAACCATGGACCTGTTCTGACACCCGCGGGCTGCATTTCTTCAACGACTTTTTGAAGGCTGCTGATCGAGAACGCAAGATGGCGCCTACGGTCGACACCCTCATCATCGGCGCCGGGCCGAGCGGTCTCTGCGCTGCAAAGACGCTTCTTCAGCGCGATCCATCATCCGACATTTTGCTTGTCGATGGCCGTGCCTCCGTCGGCGGGGTCTGGTCGCAGGAGCAGATCTATCCGAACCTGAAGACGAACAACTTCACGACGTCGATCGACTTCTCCGACTTCCCTATGGACCTCGAGAAATATGGCCTCAAAGAGAAGCAGCATGTTCCTGGGGAGGTTATGCACAAGTACCTGGTGTCGTACGCCAAGCACTTTGGTGTCTACGACAAGATCCAGCTGAATACCATGGTGAACCGTATCACCCGCCCGGACAACGCCGAATGGTACATCGATGTCGAGGAGAACGGCGAGGCGAAGACGATCTCGTGCAACCGTCTCATCGTCGCGACCGGCGTGCTCACCGTCCCGCACATGCCCGAGATTGCAGGATCCGAAGAATTCAACGCACCGATGATCCACTCCTCGAACCTCGGACCGCGCAAAGAACTGTTCGAAGACCCCGATATCCAGACGGTCGCGGTGCTCGGTGGCAGCAAGTCCGCATACGACTCCGTGCACCTGGCGGCATCGACCGGACACAAGGTCCGCTGGGTGATCCGCCGCTCGGGGCGGGGCCCGGCGTGGGTCTTTACGGCGTTTACACAGCTCGGCCCGTTCAAGGTCTGGAGAGAGAGGCTTGTGACGAGACGAATTGTCGCGTTCATGTCGCCAAACATGTTTCCCGATATGTCGGGCTTGTCCTGGATCCGGCGCTTTCTCCATGAGAACGCGATCGGGAGAGTTATTTCAAGAAATTTCTGGAAGTTAATTCGGTACGATACGATCAAGGATTGTGGGTACCAGACGCATGAGAAGACGAAGGTGCTCCAGCCGGAGCAGAATCAATTTTGGTATGTCCCTACGTCCAAAGTTCGCGAGCATTAGGCTGATTAGAATGTTCAGGTACGGTACCGCATCGGGTATCCTGAGTTTCGACGATGACTTCTTTGAGTATGTCCGTAACGGTACTGTCGAGATCTACCGCGAAGACATCGACCATCTGTCAGATCACAGGGTCCATCTCGCCGATGGCACGTCATTCTCAGTTGACCTTCTCGTTGCCTCTACCGGATTTTCTGCCAAGCCTACCATGAACTTCGAACCAGCATCGCTGCACGCTGAGCTTGGTGTCCCAACTTCTGAAATGAGCCCCGAACAAGTCGCCTTCTGGAGTGAGCAAAGCGCCAAGGCTGATAAGGCTATTGGTGCCCGCTTCCCTCGTCTTCTCGACGGTCCTTTCTTGAGTCCTACTTCGTCCAAACCAAAGCCTTTCAATCCCGGTGCCTCAGTGGAAGTATCATACAGCCCCTGGCGTCTGTACCGCGGCATGGCGCCTCCAGGCCTCGCCGCCAACGATGACCGCTCGCTCATCTTCCTCGGTGTCTTCAGCAACTTGGCCAACATCATGCGCTTGGAAGTCCAATGCTTGTGGGCCTTGGCCTACTTTGAGGGCAAGATTCCGACTCTCGACAGGGACATCCGTGCTGGCAAGATCTACGAGGAAACTGCGCTCATGCAGAGGTGGGCCCAGCACCGAGCACCTTATGGACATGGACGCCAGTACACGGATATTGTTTTTGATCAATTACCATACTGGGATATGTTACTTGGCGAAGTTGGCGTGCAGACGCAAAGAAAGCCGAGCAAGTGGGCAGAGTTCTGGGAATCTTACACACCCGTGGACTATCGCGGTATGGTGAAGGAGTGGATGGCACAGAATCCAAGATACGGGAAGGGAAGTTCCTAGGCACCTAGCGCTTCATAATAAATAGTAGCTCGGCTCAGACTCACTGTAGGCTTTGATTGGACAAGATTTTCAGTCCCCACGGAAGCTGTAAGCTCCATAGTGAACTCGTTGCCTTCGTGGTAGCCAACCGAAGACCCCGTCCTTTGGCTGAGTTATTCAAACCAAACCACCAGCCGTGTAGTAAGATAAGGCTGCTGCTGAACATTTGAGAAAATTGTGCATACTAACAAGAAATCCCACAAAACAGATTGCTCCACGACAGCCAAAACTTCCTGGCGAAGTAGAAGGTTTGTACATATCAATTCCCATAACTATTGGTAATTTCTAATCTCAAGCTCTGGGATGTTTTCTATCTGTTTTCAGATTTTGTTTCTGAAGCTGAGGCGCTCGGCATCGTTATTCTCTTCTGTCCAGAAGAGCGTTTAGGCCCAAAGAAGGGTTCTTCATCCAACACGAATTAGTTTACGGCACATCCGTCTTTCATCTAGACTAGAACATTCCGACAAGACAGCATGTAACTCTGCATGCCTGAAGTGGCTGGGAAATCTCCTGGATTATTCAAGCCGTTTTGTAGGAGAATGGCGATCATCTGCGCGACCGCTGACTGGTGCGCCGATGTGCCCCTGCCAGCGAATGCCCCCTTTTGCCGTAAACGATTGATCTCGAACCTCGTCAAGCCAGCTGGGTCACAACTGAACAACCTACGAAACACCCGTACTTTTCCGCTTTTGACTGCCATGTAAAGCAATGAGTTGCGGCTGCTGTCTCTCCAGGATGAATCGACAGGAGCCTTTCTGCCAGATTTGATGAGCTGATCCAGAAGTGCTGTCAAGCCATCTGCGAAAACACATGACGAGTCAAAACTTTCTTCGATGGGCTCTGCATTGTTGGGGCGACGTTTGAACCAGAGAGGGAACAACTGGTAGAGCATCTGTGTTGCGATTGATGTCTGTTCCTTACCCAGGCCGCCGCTTTCGCATAAACTATCGATCAACTCTACTCCCTGTCCAGTAGAATTTTGGAGAGCAGAATACACCAAGCGGTGCCATGGTATCGATTCCTCTTTTAAATTGAACAGGAATGTTGCTAACTCCAAATGAGCTGAGCGATACGCATGTAGCACCGCAGCTCGGTCGGCGCAACGCCACAAGTTGGGCGCTACCGTGATAGTACCCTCCCCACCAGAATTGATCATGGTACGGAGGAACTTTTCCGTAATTCTTATCTTCAGATGTCTGCATGTTGCTGTGTACGGATCAAAGACTATATCTCTAGCGAGAAAGCGATCCAATTGCGTGACTAGATCATTGATTGTGTTGAGCATAGCCCATGAGGGGACTGGGATGCCAAACATTGACTTGAATGCCTTGCGGGCCAGTCCTGCCTCTGTGATATCGTAGTCTACGTCTGGGAAACTGAGACGATCTGACTTTTTCGGAATCCCGCGTAGAGCAAATATGATGTCTCGTGGATCGGTTGCCTCACTGGTGCCAAAGCGCTTCAAGAGGGAAAACAAATTCAAACGTTGATTTGACCAAGAAATTATGCGAGAAGGTCCAGGCATAATTTCTAGAACAGCTTGACAATGAGGATCAGGCAAAGCTTCGATAAACGACGGTGATTGAGCGAAGTACATGGCGGAGACGGACATCTTGCCACAGCAAGTGAAAGCCGCTTGAGCGTTGGCAACCTCTTGTAGAATCCACACACGCTTGAACCACGATCGTTCCAGGAGAAGGTGGAGGCCGCGAGCCAACGATTTCTTGTAAAGACTGCTTGGCGGAATCACATGGCCTGCCATGGTTTTGCAATCTATCAGCCAGCGGTCGATCCATTCGTTCACCAATTCGTGTTGATTCATCGGCACCCAGCCATTGTAGAGACCACCGGGCCCTTCCATCTTATCTTTGAGCTTCTGCAACATAGAGATGAGGGCATCAGTGTCTGTGTTACCATCGCCTAGCCAGAATAGAACTCGCTCAGCCCGTCGATAAATTTCGCTCATTTGCTGCACTTGATGTCCCCTCTCTCTGTGGTTCTGTTGGTCGATGCAGACAGCATCTACCCACAAAACTCGATCGTGCTCACTAGATCGGAGTTGACGGAGCGCATGGAAGAGATTCTTAGTAATGCGCATTCGCTTTCCATTGACAGTGATTGCATGCGTCAGCTCGGATGAGCCCCAGGCGTACGAGAGGGCTTCATAAGGGATAGCCATGTCGCCTAGGCGATCTTGATAAATCAGGCAATGGATGGGACCGTAGTCTCCCTTAATTAGGCAGAGGTGGCGAATTGAGGGTTGGCTGAGGTCGAGCGGTTCATGTGTAAAGGAATCCATGGTAAGCTGGGTTGGGTTGTGATGAAGTACTTGGAATTCGGAATTGAGTGCAGACATTAGGCATATGGTATCTAAATACCCCATCCATGAAAGCTTACTTCAAAAGCCAAGAGACCCAATTAGAGGCCATTGGAATATTGATTATGAATGAATTGAGAGTAGTTCACAAAATGGCCGGCGGGCATTGAGGTCATTTTGAAAGACGGCCGGAAACAAAACATGAAGGTCACCACTTTGCCCCACGTCAACGAAAAGGCCCACTTCTGGATCATACCTTCTTTGTCTTTAAATCGAGCATGCGTTGCAAGAATACACAAATTCCCTTCAAAAGATGGTAACCTGTCATCTTCTGAAGCCAGACAGAAGGTGTTTTTCCCGCTCTGTTGGCATCTGACGGAGTCTTTGAGATTTCGGGAGAAACACGTTTGGCTTTTCGACGCAAATCGAGGCGTAACTGCCCTACTCGCTGACCCCACCTCCAGATGACTACTTACAGTGGATGCCGAAATAGGTAACGGCAAAGTCTCAATATTATGGGGTATCACTTAAATCAATGGCTTAAAGCCCTAGGTTGCAGAACTGCAAAGCCTATACAGTGCACTTCTGCATGTCATAGATCAAACATGGCATCGATAAACATCACAAGAACCCGCTCAGAAGTTTTCGATTGAAAACTGGCCGAAAAGCTATTTACGCTGCAACACAATCCATTGTCATCTCTTATTGTGCACCATCAGAGTCTAGAGGAGTTTCTCTCCGTGAGATTTGGGCCATTACAACGCTCTCATTCGTTGTTTCAGAAAATGTATCATGTGCGAGTCCTCAGGCTCTAACAAGACTCTATTCAACTTGTCAGATGACAGCTCATATTCCAGGGTCTGAATCACGTTTGCGTTTCTGACCGCGTACCTCTTGGAAATGATGGCTTTCAGAAAGCAAACGAACCAATTCAGTGTTTCCGTACTCCTGCGCCAAAGTCATGGCTGTCTCGCCATCAACAACCTCATGAAGATCAATGCGGCTTTTGATTAGGAACATGGTGACCTCCTTGAATCCCTCATGGGGATTCATGGCCACCAGCATCAGAGGAGTCCATCCCTCGGACTTCATGTTAGGATCTGCGCCAAGCACGAGAAGCTTCAGTGCAAGCCAGGCATTGCCAGTTTTGATGGAGTATCCCAACAATGACTCGCCTTCCTGACTCATCCAAGAATGATCGAATGGCGTGAGCATTCGGCGGTTGCCAATCAACTGTGATACTAGAGCTGCGAGGCAGTTTGAATGAATTGCGACTGGTCCAGGATGGAAATCATCTTTTGGGGCCTCTCTTCCCCAAAGTAGCTTCAAAACATTGACCCCACAACCCGCGGCGTACTCCCGAGTGTTATCGTCCCCCCAGACCTTTTCAATGATTTGTTGTGCCCTATGCGGGTTTTGAAGCGCAGCGTAAAGGATTTCGTCGTAACTTATGTTAGATCTGGATTTCAATTCTCTCAAATCGGGGACGAAAGAGTCGCATTTTCGGTAAATCTCAATGACTGCTTTTGGAGAAAACTTGATGTGGCCCTTGGTATGAGGGGAAAGCATTTTGTCAATCATCTTCCAGTGTCCGGTTATGAAGGGCAGCTCCAAGATTTCTAGCGTAATTTCCACGATTCCTTGACCGGGAAGGCGTGAAACATTGGCGTTGGGGACGCAAATCCGCTGATCAGTGATGGAGGATGCCAGGAGCCAGTCTAGCTGCGTGACCAGGTCGGATATCGAGTCAAGACGGGCCCAAGATGTGAGTTCGCGATGAAAAATGAAGGATGACGTATCGATCGCCAAGCCTTTTTCGGACATTTCGTAGTTCACGGCAGGCAATGAAGGGTTTTTGTTGTCCGCTGATATTCCTCGGAGGGCGTAGACAATGTCCCTTTGGTCCGTGGCTTCACTTTGACCAAAATGCTTCAATAAGGAAAACATAGTCCGCCCACCCTCATGCCCCCACCAGGAGCCATGTGCCCAACGACGGGTCGGCATTATTTCTCGCACCGCTTGTGATTGGCCCTCGACTCTGAGTTTAGGCGTTATGTCTGTACGGGACCAAAAGTTGATGATTTCTTGGCCAATTGCGAAGTACAAGTCGGGAACTGACAGTTTTCCGCAATGGACCATAACGGCGGACGCGTTTGCAACCTCTTGCAATATCCAGACTCTCCTAAACCAGGAGCGGTCAAGAATCTCGATGAGGCCGTTTCTTGCGGCTGCCATTTCGCGTTCGGAAAAAACCTCATGCACATGCCCATTGAGACACTCGGGATGCCTGCTCCACATCTCATGCTCCACTTCTTCAAGCCACCGCTTGTACCAATATCGTTGCGACTTGTTTCTGTACTTTGGTACCCAGTTTCTGTAAGGGGACCCGTCACTCTCCATGTCGGCTTGAAGCTTCTGCAATACCGTCATGAAGACTTCGGCTTCATATGTCGCTTCTCCTAACCAGACAACAACTTGGCTGGCTTGGCGATAGATGTCTCCCATTTGTTGTACTTGATGACCTCGCTCTTTGTGGTTCTTCTGATCAATACAAACGGCGTCAACCCATAATATTCGATCAGCTTCAACAAGACGAAGATGAGAAAGGGCAACATGCAAGTTTGCGGTGATCCGTAGTTCCTTGCCATTAACCTCGAGTTCGTGAGTGAGACTAGACGAGCCCCAAACATATGAAAGTGCTTCGTATGGGGTATCGCGTACTTGCTCCGCGATTTGAACCTCAAACAACTCGCAGCGGATCGGATCATCACGGCCTTTCAAAAGACGCAGAAGTCGTATACTTGGCTTCGCAAAATCGAGCGGGTCGTATTTGAAAGGCATCATAGTGAGTTGTGCATCTTAGTTTAGAAGTTTGGAAATCGGCCGCAACTGGGGACACTGAGAGACAAGAAGACTTAAATAAAACCACCTTGCCTTCTAAGTCTAACTTAATGGACTCCGAGAATTTATTCAGAGGCTGCTAGAAACCGCGCGTAATAGTGTTTTGGTCCTGTAGGTATTTCGAGAAGCATGCGGAAGTCTTTCTTTTTCCCCTACCAGGTTTCGGTGTATGCTTTCGTATGCCGAAATCCTTTGTCAAATACTACTGCTTTCAACTTGGCTTCGAGGCAACGGGGAGACCCGCTCTTGAACCATTTGCTGTCTTTCTATTCGCCAAAGACTCTTTACATTGAATTTCATATTCTTTACTGATTTCAACATGCCAATTTCATTCATTCATAACCAGAAGCTTCTGACCTTCTCATCTTGTGTGTGAGAAAGCCTTGGATAGGTATTTGAGGTTGCTTGCTTTAAGGTTCCGATGCGAAAAAAGCCGGCGTCAATCACCACTGACCCGCTCGCCGGTCCGTGCTCCCGGACGCCACCTTGAGGGTTCGCCGATCCCGAAAACGGGGTGTTAGAGTTGTCGGCTTTGTGTCTCCGGCCGGGTCATTTGTGTCGTTCCCTTCTGCTAAAATCAAGGCCATAACTCGGAGTTTGAAGGCCGAAACAATCACTCAAATCTGACAACAAACATGAGCCGTTGGCTCGAGCAGGCCGAGGTTGGATCCGTAATTGCGGAGCTCTCGCATCGGTCGGCACGGAAGGCAACATCGCGAACATGGCAATGTTCCAGATCCGCATCACCATTAAGCTCCTGTCAGCACCCAGGAGCCCGCCAAACTCCCTTAAAAACGCCTGGAAATGGTTCGGACCGGGCTGACACGTCCTAGACCACACCGTAAATCAACAAAACACGGGGTCGCTGGCGGCCTTCAAACGCGCCAAACGAAGATGAGCATGAAACGACTCTGAAACCCGCCCCGGTCGCCAAAACTCGCCAAAGGCGTCCATCCCAAGGCGCTGGGACCTACCCGTCTTGGCTATAAGCAACCATGTGTCCTTGGCGCATCCCCAATCCGTGATGGTCGTTGAAGAAAAAAAGGAACCCGTCTCATGTGTTTTTGTTCTTGTGGTGTTCTGATTGATCGAAGGCCATGCTCTGCCAAGGCCAACCCCAGGTGGTGATCTCCTTGGCTGCCGCCCTCATCATCGTCTGGAGTATCCGCCTTTTGTTCGTCCACGATGGCATCTCGACGCTTCTGTACCACTTCGAGGAGCCCAGCCAGCCGCAGGTTGCGGAGGCGTTCGTCCGACAGGCTATGAATGTCGAGTTTCCCGAGCCAATCGATTACCGACCGATACAGTCGACATGCGCCGCCACACAATTTCGGCCGGGCCTGGTGTTCACCTGCGAGGGACAACATGGAGGCATTGGCATGGTGCGCGACCAGATTTTGAAGTGCGTGCGGTATGCGATACACGGCGGCGGCGCGATTGTGGTGCCTTGGATGCAGCTGCGCAACGCGAAAGACATCTCCGACATCGAGACCGAGAAAGAGGTCCCGCTTGACTACCTCCTCGACCGCCAGACCTTCATCAGCCATCTGACGGAAGGATGTCCAGGGATGCGCATCTACGAGCGGATCGAGGACTTTCCCCACTACCAATCCCGGGCAGGGGAGCCACTCGACCTTGTGGGCGACCAGTTCGAGCCGAACCACCCCCGCGAGGGCCTGGAACACCCGCGCGAATGGCGGCGCTTCTTCGACGAATGGCTGGACAAGAAGAACGTCACCATCCGGACGGAGGAGCCGACGCACGTCCGGATCGGCCAGGCGTTCCTCGAGTACCCCGTCCGCGACGACGGCCCGGCCTTCGTGCACGAGTACGGCAAGATCCTCTCCTTCCGCAACGACACGCGCGAGCTCGCGGCGAAGATACTCTACGAGCTGAAGCGGCGCTTCGCGCTGCCCATCGACCCGGCCAGGGCGATCAATCCCAACGCCTACTTTGGCGCGCACCTGCGGCTGGAAAAGGACGCGATCGACGCGTGGCAGCCGGACGAGTGGCGCTTCTCGCGGCAGAAGGACCAGTTCGAGGAGCACTTCCAGTACATTGAGCGCATGGGGCTGAGTGTGGTGTACGTGGCGTCGGGGAACCAGACGGTGGTGGAGCTGTTTGAGGAGGAGCTGAAGAAGCGCGTGGCGGCGAGCCCCGGTGGGGAGACGAAGACCGTCGCGGTGGTGACGAAACGCGACTTGCTTCAGGGGCCCGACCGGAAGCTGCTGGACGAGTTGACGTTTGACCAGCATGCCCTAGTGGACTTTTTGATGCTCTTCAAGGCGAGCGCATTTATGGGTGTGGCGCATTCGAGTTTTCCGTGGACGGTGGCGTTGCGGAGGCATGAGATGAGCAAGTACACGGCGTACGGGAACGAGGGGTCGGATATTTTGAGGGATGAGTATAGCATCATCATGGGCATGCAGAAGGATTACCCGGAGGTTGAGCCGTTTGTCTATGGGTTGTGGCCATGACGTGCATTGCATCAAGAGGAGAGCGCAAGGTCATAAGTTGCACATAAAATCAAGAGGAAGGAATGAAAATCATGGGAAAGGCAAGGAGAGAGGAGTTATTACCCTGGGAGGTACAGGTCAGGCGTCACGGATCTTCTTTTACGAAACTATAAACTACTAAAGAAGTGCATCATAACATGCGCAACAACTAAAATCCATACGTAATAGAGAATATTTCAGTAAGCAACCCAGTGGGTTTTGTCTGATGATTGCACATCTAGTAGACTACAATCTGTACATACTTCGGGCCACGACTCGAGAGCTCAACTTTCAGATTCACCGTGGACGCAACAAATCTAGGCTATATCATCTGCTTTGAATTTTCTTTTCGTCGATAATGCCCGACAGATGCGTTTGTTTCTTCTGTGCTGTTCGTATCACATAACTTGGTATCGAAGAAAGGGAGGGACATAAACATAGTTTCAAGATGCCTATGCGCCCAGGTGTTTGGCATCCCGCTAAGCTTCCTCTCTTCAAGTGAAATGGGGCTCTCAAGATCAGGCTTGTTGTTTTTCATACTCGCGGATACTTGCTAACCGCGGTCATGGATGTGTGGAGATAAAAGTGATCGGAGCGGTCAACCAGAAAAGTCCATGTCCGGACCGCTCCGAGTAGCTCACCGGGGCACTCCGGCGTATCCACACTTGAGATGGCCCTGTCCATCTCCTAGTCGCGACAGCAAGATTAACTCGAGAGAACCGACAGCCACGCCTTATGAGACAACAAATCATACGGATGTAAATAACGATTACTCTGCCAAGATTTGTCGGTCCACATCATAACAGGATGATTTTGGAGGCTCTCCATCCGTCCGAAAGCGAAATATTGATCTGGACGAGAGTTGACTCGACGCCGGCCGACTATTTCAACTGCCGAGCGGGGACCAGGCCCCGGCCGGCGAGCGGCAAAGTCCGTGACCCCGAAAACCTCCGCACGGAGAAAACCCACCTTCCGCGATATATCTAAATACCATCGACAACAACCTCTCCGGCGAACATTTCCATAAGCACGTCAATCAAGCAATATTCAATCCCATCGCATCTTAACCAACATCATTGGCCGGACTTCATAATACGATACCAATCAACCATCAAAGATGTTGAACGCTTCCATCTCCCACCGAAAGACAGCGGGGAAAGACACGGCCCCTACCCAACCCGACACCCCCTTCTCCAACGACATCACAAAAACCACCATCCGCCAAGCCAACACCACAACCAAAAACCCGCGCCTCCAGCTCCCGAGCCCGCAGTGGTGGCTTCTCGCCATCCCCTCCTTCCTCATCTCCCTCCACGGCGCCCTCTTCTTCACAGGCCTCACCCCAGGTGACCCCCAGATCAAGGCCCGCATCCTCGCCTCCACGGGCGGCTGCGTCCACATCTTTGGCTCCTTCATCGCCATGGGCCTCGGGCCCTTCCAGTTCCTCCCCTCGCTGCGCCACGCGTACCCGGCCTTCCACAAGTGGCTCGGCTGGGTGTACGCCGCAGCCGTGGCGGCCGGCGGCGTGGCGGCGTTCTATGTCACGTTCCACAGTCTCGCGCTGCCGTGGGGGCGGGTGGGGTTCGCGGGGCTGGCGTGTGCGTGGCTGGAGACGCTGCGCAGGAGCATCGTGGCGGTGAAGAGGGGCGATGTGAAGGGGCATATTGGCTGGATGACGAGGAACTTTGCGTGCACGTATGCGGCGGTCATGTTGAGGTGGCAGCTTCCGTTGATGATTGTGGCTGGGATGGAGGTGAAGTTTGCGTTGTCGATTACCGGGTTCATTTCTTGGATTCCGAACTTGATTTTTGTTGAGTACTTCGTGTTGAGCTGAGGTATGTGTTACCGGAAGTTGAGAGTTGTGAGATCGCGTCTTTTGCTCATCCTGATGCTGAGTTTAGCCCGCCTCAGCTATGTTGGTGGTATTGCGGGAGTCCTGAGACTAGAGATGGGTAAGATTTAACATAAAACCGTAGGATCATAGTTTGAATTCGAATTGAAGATACCAGTTTGCGTTTCTGGTGGTTTGTCCCACTCAACGATTGTCAAGATACAGGCTAGCGAAAGATAAGAACGCATCTATTATAGTCGAGGAAGCTGGGCGCATAGATGCGAAACTGTAGTTTTCAGGTTGGCCATCAGTGGCCGGTAACACTTGTTATAGTGCAGGCCCCAAGATGCTCTGTGGCAAGCTTAACTCAACTCGTTTTAAAGATTAGTTGACTAGTTGACCAAGTGAATGCGACTGTCATCGGCATAGCTGTAGACGAGTCTACCTAGCTAATGTTACGAATGATGACTGCCTGCACAGTGGGCTGATCAGACCGCATCAAAGTCATCAAAATCTAATGTTGCGATCTTTTTCCGGTCAGAGTTACACGTCGCTATTCCATATGCCCATTTGAATTTGAGTGGCAAAAGCGTACCTAGACAACCGGAAAATGAGACATGATCACTGCGCTTCTGTCTTCCCATCCGACACCTCGAGTTTTATCAAATTACACAATACACATCTGATATCAACTTTGGCATCAAGCTTAAAGATCCGTGACATTTCAACGGCCGATCTGTTCAAGGTTCTGCCCAAATCAACCAAGGTTCTTTAATGAAGTCTAAGTACGTCCTTTGGCATCTTCTTGCGTGCTTGTCACTCCAGACTCCTCATCATCGTTGTCCACATTGTTCAACTCGCGGTCTACCGCGTCGTACTTCCGAAACTTCCACCAAAAGAGCACGGAACAAGCTCCCATAACTCCGGCAATGACAGCGTAAACCACGACAAGATGGGGATCTCGGGATACCGGGCTAAGAGCCATAGCCATAAGCGAGCCAAGGCACGCACTGAGCTGGACCATGGCCTGTACGATGCTCTTCATGTTCTTCGGGGCTTTGGAGTACGCGTACTCGCTCGCTGTAACCAGCCCAAATATCTCAGCAATGGCCAAGGCCACGTAGACCGGTAGCTGTAACCAGACATTAACCTCGTTAGGAAGACGTCCACCGTCTGAAGCAGCGCATGCGCGAGGTGCGTCAAAGCAGGGTCCCGCGCTATAGATCATCTTCTGCAGCCCTGCGGCATAGCCCATCCCGCCGCCGCAGATGAGAAAGGCTACTGCTATGCGAGCCATGGGGCCGAACGAGATACGGCGTTTCGCGAGAAAGTTGTAAAGTGCCTGAATAATGGGCCCGAAAACCACGCAGGCGACTCCGGCCATGGCTTGGAGCATGTCGTTCGGCACGCCGTGGAGCTGCATCTGTCCGGCTTGGGAGATGAGGTTGTTGAACATTTGGGTGATGGCTAGATAGAAGAAGGCGAAACAGAAGCTGGGGTACTGTTAGTACGTCAACAGAGGTCTGATGTTGGTGAGAACGCACATGACGCGACATGCGAGGAGACCGCGCCTCAACTCATCCACGAATTTGTCCCCCCACGGAAACGAGGCACCGTGGGCTTCCATTTGGTAGGACTGTTTGGCGTGGTCGAGATTGACACCGTTCCGTGCTGCAATTGACATGACTTTGATGGCTTTGGGGAGATTGTTTTCCCCTGGCCGGATCTTGACTTCACATTTTGCTGTCAGCAGATGCTTTGGTTATCTTGAAGATGGACCTATTTACCCAGTCGTGATTTAAAAATGAGCAAAAGACTAACCGCCGCCATCACAGAAATAGCTGCCATGAGATATGCCGTCCAAAAGCCAAATTCTCTTTCCAAAAACGTGGCGGGGATGGATGAGAGGGAAGCGATGTTTGTGAACCTGAGGAAGATGAATTGTTAAGCGAAGTAAGAGTGCTACTCATCATCGGCGTCTTACCAATAAAAGGCATTGTAGAGGAACTGGAGCGTTCTGGTACCGTCAACCACTGCAGGTAATCCATCTTTCTGCCGGACAAGTTGGGGAGTCTTCTGCTTGTATTGATCGCCTAAGGCAATCGTCAGTTGACTTCTCTTGTATTGTTTCTCGAATAAAAACTGAAGAGATTCTCTCACCAATGAAAGGGGAGATGGTTGCTTTAGTAGCACCGACACCCAGTCCTATCAGGATCATGGCGACGATCAGGCCAGGCAGACCTGCACCGTTGTCAAGGGAAGACGGTAAAGCTGTCGCAAACATGACGAGTGAGCCGCAAAGAGATAAACTGAACTCCGGTTAGCTTCCATGCATGACAACTCAGTCTATGGATCCAAAGTGTAACTTACACAAGCCCTAGTAAAAGGGTCTTGTAGCGTCCAAGCCAGATATCGGAGATGACTGCAAAACAACTCGGCATCAGGAAGAGAAAGATGAAGAAGCCGTTGGATATTGCCGTAGCTGTCGACTGGCCAAGTCCAAGCGCTCCAGGTACTTGTTTAGATCCTCTATCATTTTGTATGTAGTTTTCTAGACTGTCAGTGTTGGTGATCCTGTACGCATGTTGAAAAGTCAAGGACAGTTCTTGAAAGCATGTGACTTACGCCATATGGAGACAAAGCAGTAATAGCTAAACCGCTCTGAGGCACCAATCAGAGCGGCCACCCATGCTTCTGGTGGTAGAGTATCGACAATATGAGGGAGGCTCTCTATCTCGTCGCTCGTTGCATCACGGGGGGCGTAGTCGACAGCTTGCGCTTCAGCTGACGGACTCGTCTGCGTCGCAATACCCATGCTGGCAGTCTTGGTCCGCGACTGGTCATCGGATCATGAGCGAGCAATATTTCTCTTGTCCTATGAGCCTTTCTCCAGCTGATCAATCATTTTGCGACCAAGCCTGGCATTTCTGAATTCGGCTTCAGATTGGTTCATGTTGCACCAGGGGCGGTCTGTCTCCGTGTTAATCGTACTGTGCATAGGCTGATGCCAAGGGAATGCCAACATTTGCCAAGCAGATGCCAAGCGACCAAAAGGAATAAACAACCTCAAACATGCTCACGGAAGGCCGAATGTAGAAGGAGGCGCCAACGGGCGACGAGACTCCGGAAAATACCACGTCCAACTCGAAGGACAAATTGCTCACCAGCCATCTAGGCGACGAGAGAAGAATCAGTGATGTACTTATTAAGATGGAACCAAAATGAATGACAGCAAACACCGGAACAGGCAAGACGAGCAGCCATGGCGTCGAGTGACCAATCATCCACGTACCACATCGGGTTCAAACAGGGTACCATCAAGCTGTTCGAGCTGCGGAACGTCTCGACATGTCTGCAGTACCTCCTCCCGACGCTGAAGTTGCTGCCGCCCACTTTCTCTCTCCTGGACGTTGGCTGCGGCCCAGGTAGCATCACCCTCGATCTGGCGCGGCACTTTCCCCAGGCCACAATCATTGGCGTGGACCAGAGCGCCGAGGTGACGGAGCGCAACCAGGCCAGCGTCGAGGCCCTCGCCCCAGGCACACGCGTGGAGTTCCGCCAGGGCGACATACTACGCCCCGAGACGTTTCTCACTCCCGCCGAGATGGAGGCCAAGTTCGACGTCGTCCATGAACACACCACGCTCATCTGCATCCCCGAGAACGCCCCCGTCCTGAGGCAGATGCGGCTGCTCGCGAAGCCCAAGGGCGGCATCGTGGCGTGTCGCGACGGGGATACGCAATCGCAGGTGCTGTGGCCGCCGTGTCCCGAGAACGCGGAGCTGCAGGAGCGCATTTACAGGATGAACGGGCTAGAGACGCAGACCGGGCGCCGGCTGATCCACAAGGCGCTGGAAGCCGGGTTCCGAAGGGATCAGATCACGGCGTCGGCGAGCGTGCTGTCGAATATCACGCCCGAGGAGAGGTTTGCATATGCAGGGTCCATGCTGGATATTCTCGCCGACGAGAACTCTGAGTATCGTCGGGCGGCGGCCAAGTTTGGGTACACAGCGGAGCAGATAGATGTGCTCCGCGTGAATATGCAGCGGTTCATTGACGCCGAGGATGCTTGGAGACTGTTGATATGCACAGAAATCATCTGTCGGCTGGATGCAGATGATAAGACCGGTCCAACAAACACTTTAGCCTAGAGACTAAATGTCAATACTTGCGCAAGAATTGTAGTAAGCGATAGAACCAACATAAATATCAAATCAAGACCCCGTGTTTGGCTGCACAGTACCAGGGCCAACATGTGATGCCCGGGAAAACTTGCTCTTGTGGCGTTGGCCAAGCCATTCCAGGCCTGCAGACCCCCATGTCGGTCTCATTCGATGCCACGCTGGTATATAACACTTCTCGCATCTGCCTTGTTCGCATTCCACCTTTTGCCTTGCAGCACCTTCGCCTCTTCAACAAGACTATCAAACTTGCGTGCAACGAGATGGCGCCCGTATCACGTCTGTTCGGATCCGGGCTCGCCATAGCCCTTTACGCCATCGGCGTCCATGCCGACGGCACCGGCCTCATCGGCTGGGGCAAGACCCTCTACGACCCTACCTGCTCCTTTGCATGTCGCAATGTCATCAGAAAGCAAACTCTCGCCTGCACGCCCGTCGACTCGAGCGCGAACCACGGCACAGCCCACAATCCAGTCTCGACGCCGCCGAAATGTTTCGTCTCGGATCACGTCTTCCTGCTCACTATGGCGCTCTGCATCGATACCTACTGCCCGCTGAGCGAGAACCCGCCGATGGCCAAGCTGGAAGACTACTGGGCATCCCATGTCGGAACCGGCACACTGGGCAACTACAAATACACCCCAGCCATGTCATATCAGGAGGCTCTGGCTGCTGCGCGCGAGGAAGAATCAAAGGCTGCTCAAAACACCAACTCCTCGTCTTCTGATTCCGAGAGCGGAGGACACACCAACCACCGAAGAGTTCCTACAGTACGACTTGCGGCCCGCCATGGGGACATGTCGATGGATTCAGCCGACGGCCTGACGGTGTTCAATGTCTCTAGCCCTCTCCCCAAGGCAGCGGGTGGTTCCAAGCCTCTCAATACCACCAGCTTCGTCGGTCCCACCGAGTGGCAGCTACAGTGGAACTACATGCACGACTTTGAGACGAACGAGGCAGGCCACTCGACTGTCACTATTGTCATTACTCTGGTCGCCGTCCTCCTCCCCGTCGCCCTCTCGACGCTCCGCTTCATCCCAGGTTTCACAAAGAACTTTGCCTGGACGTACTGGCAGACTTTGCTGATTCATCCTGCCACCTTCAGTCGCCGTCACCGCGAGCCTGTCGCCGGGATCGGCAACATTCCCACCCGTGGCCAGGCCTTATACATCTTCGTACTCAGCTTCCTCAACATCATCCTCTGGCTCGGCCCATACACGATCCACCAGCCACAAGCCAGCTTCACATCTCTGAAGATGCAGAGCATCAGCATCATCGGCAATCGTGCCGGTGTAATGGCCATGGGCAACTTTGTAGCTCTGTTCCTCTTCGCCGCCCGCAACAACGTCCTGCTTTATCTCACAGACTGGAGCTACAGCACTTATCTACTCCTTCACCGCTGGCTAGCCTACTGGGCCATCTTCCACACCATCGTCCATTCCTTTATGCTCCTCGCCAACTACATCCTCCAAGGCACCTACGAGGCCGAGCTTGCCCGCGATTACTGGATCTGGGGCATCATTGGCACCGTCGCCGTGAGCGCCATCCTGCCCTTCTCTTTGCTGTGGGTGCGTCAGCGCTTCTACGAGTTCTTCCTCGCGTCTCATGTCGTTCTGTCGCTCCTCTTCATTGTCGGATACTACTACCACATCTGGTACGTCTACGAGTACAACTGGGGCTACGAGATCTGGATTTTCGTCGCCGGCGGGATCTGGGGCGCCGACCGCCTCTTCCGTCTTGTCCGCACTTTCTGGCAGGGTCTCAGATGGGCCAAAATTAGCACGGTTGATGACGTCGACGGTGAATACATTCGCATCGAGGTGGAAGGGAAACGCCTCGACGGCGGGGTGGTCTATCTCGGGTTCCCGACTCTCAGCTGGCGTTTCTGGGAGACGCATCCGTTTTCTGTCGCATATTCCGGATTAAACGACACCATTACTGAGTCGAGAACTCCAGAATCTCCAGTCTCGACTCCGGTCAGGGATGACAAGACGGAGGCCGAGTCGCCGACTGTCGAAGCTGACCCCGAAAAGGGCATCAACGCCCAACAGAACACAGTCACCACGCCGACACGAGGGAGCACAGATACTACAGTCTTTTATTCTCGCACTCGCAGCGGCATGACGCGTGCCCTAGCTGCCAAGGCATCCCACTCCACCCGCATTCGTGTCCTCCTCGAAGGTCCCTACGAACATTCAGGTCATGTCTCGGCACAAATCGCCCATTGCACCGATATGATCTGCATCGCCGGCGGCGTGGGAATTACTGCGTGCCTCCCTTTTGTCCGCAACCGCCCTACTGCGGGTAGTACGTCGCTGTTTTGGTCCAGCCGGCACCAAGGCCTCATCACGGCTCTGGCTCCAGCCATCCAGAACCTCCCTAGCAGTGTCAAGGTCGAGACCGTCGTCGGAGAAAGACTGAAGTTGGATACTATCCTCAGGAAGGAGATGACTGCTGTCTCTGGTGGTGCGCTGGCTGTTGTTGTTTGCGGCCCGCCCAGCATGGCGGATGAAGTACGCAGTAAGATTGTTGAAATCACAAGGAACGATTCGAGGAGCAGGCCTTACGTCTTGGTGGACGAAGCGTTTGCGTGGTAGACATGGTTTATAGTTACAGAAGATAATTCCTTTTTTTGATTCCCGAAGGACTTCAGTCGTCCATGAGCTTGTACGTAAACCGCTCTCTAATCTCACGATCCAATCTCAGACACTCCTTTCTTCCCTTCTTGCTCGCAAAGATCACGTACCCGATGCACCACAACTCACTCGACTCCGGTCCCTGCACCACCTCCCCCTTCTCTTTCACAGTCTGATAATGCACAACATGGCGCTCTAGATCAGGGTTTGCCTCGAGGAACTCCTTCACCGCATCATCAGACCCCATAACTCCTGCCTTGGTAGGAGCGAGTACCGAGATGCCCAGCGTATACTGAGGGACGCCATGCAGAAAAGGCTTCGAAAGCGCCCGCACTCGCGCATCTTCCTCCGAGCCGAGACTGAGCAGCAGCCGTATGGCGTAGTAATCGACCCCGTGGGCGAGGAGGGCTGCCACGCAGTTGATGTACCCCGGCGGGCGCGCGTTAACCTCGTGCAAGTAGCAAGACGGAGCTTCAGCGGGAGCATCTTCGCGAACACGCAGGTCGAGGATGCCATCATCAGGGTCGACGGCATAGTACGCCCGCGACCCGCGGACCCTGGCCTCGCAGTGGAACACGCCGGACTCGAACCCAAGACGCGCGATGCTTTCGGCCAGCGAGTCCCGCATCATGGCTCTCTCCTCGTCGGGCAGTGCCGAGGGCACGTCCATGAGTGTCTCCATGAAGTTGGCAGCTTTGCTTCCGTCCATCCCTGGGATGTCGGCGGAGCAGGGAAAGTCGTCCGTTACGTCACAGAAGAGCACTTCTCCGTCTAACACGATGAAGTTTGCGTCAATCTCGGGCCCGTCGATGTACGGTTCGATCACCACACTTACGCTCCGCGCAGCAGATGCAGCATGTCGATCCGATGCGCGCTTCACAGCAGCCCGCAGCTCGCCCTCGTCGCGCACTTTGACCACACAGTCGCTGTTCCAGCCGGTGCAAGGCTTGACGATCAGAGGATACCTCAATCCCTTCCTTTTCTCCGCCAGGACAGCTTCTAGCTCCTCCGCTGTCTGCAAGACAAACCCATCCTCCTCCCCAGATGCAGCGGCTTCAATCTCCCGCGAGACGCCCTTATTCCCCGCCCTGACGTACGCCGCTGAACTGGAGGTAGATAGCCCCAAAATCTCACACGCACGCGCGACGAGAGGCAACCGCACGTCACTAATACACACGACGCCATTCACAGGATGCGGATATGCCCGCACAGCGTCCACAATGCGCTGAGAGAGGCCCTCATCTGCTGCGATGCTGACCGGAAGAAAGGCCTCACGGTAGTGCGAGTGCGGGCCGGCGTCATCTTCAAGCCAATGGCCCGACTCGTCGAGGACGACGAGGGTGATGCCGAGGGCGTGGGCAGCTTGGTAAAATTGCCGGCTTGCTTCGATATTGGCGCGGCCTTGGACCCAAAAGACGCGTTTCTGTGTTAGTCTCTGTGGGACTGTCCAGGGGATGGAGAGTCGCTTAGTGAACTCGTTGTCCAAACGGGCGCGGAGGGCTTGGAGTGTGTCCTTGGGGTTGGTGGAGTGGGCGATGACACCGCCGACTGAGCTTTGGAGTAGGAAGAGGAAGCCTTCTTTTGTGGTGACGTTGAGAGCTTGGTCTGGGCTTGTTGCTGCTACTGATGCCAATGGGGTGAGGAAACCCGTGACCTGGTAAGCATCCTCGCAACCCTGGAGCCTGTAGGAAAGAAAGTCCGACCTGATTATGGTGCCGGCCTCTGCTGAGAATAGCAACCTCAGGAAGGTGGAATGGGAGAGGTCTTGTTCGAAGAGGCTTTGCAGCAGATCAGTGGCGAGATTCGTCTCATTCTGGTCGACCACGAAGCTACTTTCGCCGGGTTCTTGCTGGGCAATGAGCACAAGATCCAGGTGCCAGTAGCTCTGGCCCTCTGGCGCAGTGGCAGTTCCTGTGCTTGGCTGGACGGCTTGCAGTGTTATTTCTGACCTCCGTGTTAGTTCGGAGTGAAAATGAGGCCGAAGACATGTTGCTTACCTGTCCCATCATTTCCCCTGAGCATCACACTCCACCCAAGGCTAGCCATTTTGCTTGTATGGTGTACTTGAAACGCCACCGACTTGCAGCAACAGCAACAATTCCGCGACGGCGTGAAGAGATGACCGAGATTGCGACCTGATAGACTTCCTGTCACTCATGCCATCGACAGCGGCCGGTACATCCTCATAAGACACCCACCAAATGACTCACCCCTGCCTCAGACCATCCCATCGGGACCAGGGGGCAAGTAAGGTTCGGCACGTGTACGCGAAAGGAGCTGTTAGATCCGTGAATGAGCAAGTTCTTTTGCCTCGTGAGCCCTGGACAGTGCAGCTTCGCTTCGCGGGGCTGAAGATTCTCAGCTCATTGAGCAAGTTTAGTAATTGGCTCTGAGTGAGATTGGAACCGCCGAGACTTCTAGACGGGCTCTTGGCTCTTGGCACTGTGCTGCACTGTTACATCAGGGAAAGCCGAGGCTGCATGCCGAACGTCGTACCTCCAGCCTGTTCGAGTTAGTGAAGATTGCACCATGTAAGCCGCTGAAGGATCTGGGCTCGCCATGGTAGCCGTGGCTGCGGTACATGAAGTCAATTATTTGACGGAGATGTCTTGAAATGTAGCTTCTGGCCTTGATGGTACGTGGCTATCATAGAATCCCTCACGGACTCTAAGACTCGTCACCAAAGTCCATTCTATTCTTTTGAAAAATGACTTTCCAAGACAATGTCTTCAGCGGACCAAGCTCAGTCATTGACTACTTCGACCCCGACAAGAACCCCCCTCTTCCCCTAGTTGAGATTCCAGACCGTTTGAACCCGTTCCGAGAAGACGGAGTCAGGATATACGCAAAGATGCTCACATGTCTGCCGGCGCAGAATGTCAAGTCTCTGCCAGGTACGTTGCCGTTTCCTCATCTTTGTACGGCCAGAAGGTGACACACGTAACTTGTAGCCCTGAAGATGCTGCGAGAAAAGCCGCACGCCCATGATAAAAAGATTGTCGAGGCAAGCTCTGGGTCGACTGTGCTATCTCTCGGGATTATTGCGAGGGCTCTCTGGGGAAACGAAGATGTGGACGCCTATGTGACGAACAAGAAACCGCCAGAATCGCTGAATTTGCTTCGTTTCTTTGGTATCCGACCGTGAGTTCCGATTTCAATTGCTGGGTGGCGAGTATTTCTTCTGAAGTCAGCTTTTCTCAGGTGTCTCTACGGCGGCCTTGCGCAGCAAGAGCCGACAGATCCCACAGGCATCATGTGTAGGCTCCGGAGTCGAGCGGCGCAGGATGAGGATATGGTTTACCCTGGGCAATATGACAATCCGAACGTATGATGCCCTGGCTTTTTGGCAGCGTCCAAGGGCTGACAAATGACAGAATTGGAGAGCTCATGAGGAGTGGACGGGTCCCCAAATTTTCAGGCAGCTGCCTCAGATCAACATCTTTTGCTCTACCGTCGGCACTGGAGGTGAGATCAGCAGACCCCAAGTTCTTTTTGAGTTGACTAACATATTACTAGGAGTAATTACGGGCACGGGAGTATACTTAAAGGCCCGCAAGCCATCGGTCAAGGTTCTTGGGTCCGTCTATACATTCATGTTATGACTTTACTCCTGAAAACTAATGACCAGCAAGCGTCTTCAACAAATTTGGGGACCCTACACCGGGACCCAGACACTTCCACGGCTTCCACACCTCCGGCTTTCCATGGCAAGGCACAGTCGACAGCCGCATCGAAGTTTCGTCAGTTGACTCGTACCGCATGTCCATGCGCCTCTCCCGAGAAGGACTCATCTGTGGCCCCTCATCTGGGGAGGCACTTCACGGACTCCTCGAGTACATCTCTATGCTGAAACAAACAGGCAGCCTAGGCCAGCTGAGAGACGGGCAAACAGGAGAGATCTCATGCGTCTTCACTTGCAGCGATCTCCCGTACCAGTACCTGCCCATCTACTATCAGAAGCTTGGAGCGGAAGAGTTTCCTCCGATTAAGAATGATGTCAGTCAGACTCGCAGAATCCTTGGATTATCTGTCTAACATGACCGTGACAGATACTCTTGCAATGCGACCAGAATCGACATGATGAGAGATGGATCTTGGATGCGCGGAAAGCGGCCAACGTCATCTTTGGCACTGCGGAACTGCAGTTATGCCAGAAAGATGCTCTCGAAGTCAGCATCGAAACGGTCGAGGAAGTCTCAGTTCAAGGCCCACCGAAGGGTCGCTCCTGGATTTCCTTCATCGTCAATCTTCTCTTCCCAGAAAAGCATCATGCTGATGTCAACTGCTGCTCACATCATTCACGCAGCGTGGTTTCACCATCAGTTCTGGTCTTGGACCTCCGTAACCAGTCCGCTTTCAAGACTCGACATATACCGGGCTCGTTCTCGGTGCCCTTGGCAGGTCTGACGCCAGATCTGGCTGATGGTGACCTTTTTAGAGATGCAGAATCTGTTCACATGATATGTATGCAGATTCAAAACGCAGTTGCCACACCTCATGTTGTTGAGTGGCTGCGTACTGCAAGAGAAAGCCAGAAGGCTGTTGTATGTGTTTGTTATAATGGTGACGCAAGCAAACTTGCATCCTCGACACTTCGTGCCCTTGGAAATGAGGGCCTTAGCATTTATGGTGGTATGGAAGCACTTTGGCCTGAGCTGGAATGTCTGAAGCTAGTTTGAACAAAGAACCCTAACCCTAACCGTGATCACGGTAGTGTGGTCTCTCAAACTGCCATCACCTGGTGAAAGCTTTGTGTTAATTACACTGGAGCATATTTGTGCTTCCAGCCTACCTTGGATGGTCCAAGTTTATGCGTGCGGTTCTGATACAGAACTCATTGAGCTTCTCCTGTTGGGAGATCAATGACGTTTTGAGCTGTAATCGGACATTCGGCTTTGCAGTTCGTCAGGCTCCCGCTCGATCAAAAGTGTCAATCTTCATAGTGGCTGGCAGAGCTCAATCAAACTGTTGAAAACATTGTATTTTTGATTGAATAATCATAAGTGCAAATTCATGTAGGAATGCTTGCACGAGACATGTTTGCCATGACTCTTGGCCACAACCATTACGTGGCAGTTTCATTATCTGCCTTCTGATGCTTTTGTACACCAATCCCTCTAAGGATACACGAGCTTTCGCAGATATGGGTTCAGTTGTAAAGGCAGAAATGGGTTTCAACGTGCTTCAATTGAGGACGCCAGACTTGACCAGACTAAATGTTCAAAATTGTTCGAGGATTTGAATTATCTTTCTTGACGGCTGATTCCGTTAACCGTTTGAATGTGGTTTTGTAGTGTGCGCCTGATGATTTGAAACTGTATAATCGCACGTTCACGTTCTGGGAATGTTGTCTACAATCCAATTGTGCGTTGCTCATTGTAACAAGAGGTACCGTTGGGGATTCTCCCGTCCAACTGATATATGTTCCGCAGGTACTACACCATTAGCCCCAGATCTTTCAGGTCTCTTAGCTTCTGCAGCAAATGTCGTCTTCTTCAGCGTTAGGGCTTAGCCCTGTATTTCAAGTACCATCTTCAAGCCCCCAGCTTTCATACGTCGGCACGCAATCATGCATAAAGCCGGCAATGCCACTGGTGGTTCTATTGAGAGTCCGTCGAAGGACGTGGATATCATACACGCTACAAGAGGGACTACCAATAGTTTTCCATTATCCACAGGTCTAGTTTACCTTACTCTGGTAAAGAGAGTCTGTATAATCTTTTGTTTGGAAAGAAGGTGATGGATGAACGGATGAGACCCTAACCCTTACCCTTACCCTATAAAGACAAATTTCATTAAAGCTGGATAAGTCGGGATGAAGAAACTGCCTGACGTCGCCCCCTCAACTGTGCATATTAAACACACTAGCTCTAAGGAAGAAATAACTGTGTTAATATCTCCGTTAAAACCTATTTTGCAGCTCCGATCAAGATTCCCAAGTACACCTCCACCAACCCTACTATCATTATACCTTCGTCTCAATTGCCTATCTCTCAGACTGAATAATACATGGCTTGCAACGTTTTGATTGACAAACCTTGCGTCATCCAGGTCTCACTCACGGGGTGATTGTGCCAATCTCAGCGTCACATTCTCAGTCAGCTTAGGGGGTTGGGGTTGGTGCCACCTTCGCCGAGACGTTATGAGGATAGGCAAGCTGCATCGCACTCAAGGGTTGAGAGGTACACATTGCATCGATTTCCGTGTACAATTCAATAATCAGCATGTATCTCAATTCGCAATCATCTGCTCAAACATTCTTCCTCCCAAGACGACTTACACGATGGCCGCATGTCGTCAAACCAAGCTCGCGCCGATCCCCACCCTTGTGGCGCCACATCCGACACCGGCGACAGGGGGTTAAACAGACTCAGAAATAAGCTTATTACCCATGCTCGTCCCGCTGCCCTGCCGACGCCACCCGATGTCCCAGCCTCCACTGCGTCCCGTACCCTGCAACATTCCCTGTCCGCGCTAAACCAGGGATGCCCCCACAAGTACACACGCCTCGTTCAAGGGTGTTGCCCCTGATCGCCGCCCACGCCCTCCCCCCCTGAGGGTGCCCTGTCCAGGTACCTTACGTACAGTGAAGTCACTGAAGTCGGAGTTCCTTTTTGAGGACGGCGGCCCACCACAGGTTCATCACCCCTGTCTTGGTGCGCCTCAGTGCCTCGCCACACAGGGAGGGATTCAGTCTGGGGCCGACGCGTTGGTTGCACTGGCAACGGGAGGGGTTGCCCAAAACTTGGAGTGGTCTGATTGGATGTGGAGTGGATGGGTTCCCAACTACACATGCGACTGAGACGAAATCGTAGTCAATCAAGCTGGCCTATCGACATGAATCCAGCGGAACATGATTAAGCAAGATGTCCATGCGTGGTGTGCGAATGAAAACTCGCATGTTCCCCTCGATGGGAACAGAGATCAAATGAGAACTATGGGTGCATGCCGCGCTCATACAGGATTCAGCTTTCCACGAGACAATTGCCCACCAAAGACAGAATCGTGGATCAAGGATGTCCGTTTCTTATTTACAATATGTGGTAAAATGTAATATACAAGTCCGAGGACAAAAAATATAACGAAGAAAAGGCGCATGCGGCCCGCAGCCTGCGCCGAATCAGCAACCACCGTCTCGCCCCCCGGAACACTTCCACGAGCCCCCCCAGGTTCTCCATCAAAGTCTCATACTGCATTTACAAGCACTGAGAATACCACTCGCTCGACCTCGTGCACGTCGACCCGGCCGCGCAGGCAGTGGGGCCGGTGTGTCCCGCGCCGCCGCACTGGGCCCACTTCGCAGCCGAGGCACCGGCGGCAGACTCGGCGGCGGCGGAGGTGGCGGCGGGAGCAGCAGCGACGGAAGTAGACGACGCAACGGGCTCAGAGACCTCTTCGGCCGCGTCCTCCTTGACGGCGGGCGCGGCAGACGCAGAAGCGGAAGCGGTGGCGGCAGGCGTCGTCGCGGAAGTAGCCTTCGTCCAGCCGCGGCTGCGCGAGAGCTCGTACCACCAGTTGCGGTACATCCAGCCGTCGAAGTCGGTGATCTCCATGGACGAGCCCGCGAGCATGATGAAGTTGGACACGCCGGTCGGGGTCCAGTCGTAGACTAATTCTCGCTGGTTAGCAACCAATCCATCATCGAAGAATTAAAAAACTCACAATCATCCAGACCAAAGGTGTGTCCCATCTCATGCAGCAAGATGTGAATGCTCTCAGAGTCCAGGTTGTTGATCATGTACTCCCGCCCAATCTGCTGTCCCCAATCATACCCGAACCCGCCCTCGAGCCCGTCCGTCAGCCACAAGCTGTGCTCAAACCGCCGGTCCGCACCAGCCTTGCACCCGCTGAAGTCCCCGTCAATATGCGCCGCGCGATCGCACTCCGTCGCGCACGCCGGGACGCCATCGCCATCCTTGTACGTGGTATACACATCCAGCCCGTCGGTGCTGCCCTCGAGCAGACTCGCGTCCTTCACCGCCCACGCAACCACATTCACATCCACCTTCGCAAATGGGAACCCGTCGTACCCGTACAGCCACTTGAACCACTTCTGGTACTGCGCCGCGTACGCGCTCGCAATCTTGGTGCGCTGCGCGGCCGTCACCGTCGCGGAGGAGTCCCAGCGCACGCAGATGTTGAGGCTGCCGTTGGTCGCGACGAGCTGGTCCCAGCCCCAGTTCTTGTTGCCCGTGACGGCGCCGTCGTAGGTGGACTCGTAGTGCGCCCAGACCTCCTTCAGGGGCGCGGCGAGGGACGAGGGAGGGGAGAAGCCGGACTGGCGCTTCGTCGGGCGGTTGCGGGTCTGCGGGGAGAGGAGGCTGCGCGCGGCGGCGTGCGGGGCCGGGTGGTGGTTGGCGAGGGAGGACCAGACGGCCGGGTCGAGGTCGGCTTTGGAGCGGGAGGGGGAGGGGTGGGCGAGGGTGGTGGCCGCGAGGGCGAGGAGGAGGGAGGAGGTGAGGGAGGGCATGGTGAATGAGTGTGATGTAATGAGTGACTGGGTGAAAGGGTGCACGGGCAGAACGTGAGCCAGTCAGTTCTCCCGAGAAATCGAAGAAAAAGAAGGCGGATGGAGGGTGCGAGAGAACGAGGGACTTGGCTGCGCTTGACGGCGGGATATATATGAAGGCCGTCGCGCGTAGGCGAGTGAAGCCATTTTCGAGAGTTGCAGCGGGTCATCGCCAAGACGGTTTCTCGTGGGAGAGCGTGAGTCCGACCTATGCTCAAAATGAAGACCGACTAGAACCGTTCATAGGTGGGTTTTCCGTGTAAGTCAGGCGGGAGCCGGTAGCGCCGTCCTGTGATTGGCCCGGACCAGGGTCGGCGGATCAAGAAGATTACAGGACCGCCGCCGCCCTCGGATGCGGCCGATTCTGGGAGTTTGCGGATCCACACACGGCCGGGCCCCGGGGCTCGGCGTCGAGTATTGATTTGCGCCAAGGCGCTACGGGAGGCGTACCGAGCCCTGGGGTCGTGGGATGGGAAGGTCTCGCCTTTTTTGCAACGGGCTTATGTCATGATTGGGGACTGGTGTTTGTCCCTTTTGCGAATACTCGTGTCGGGGCACTTTTGAAATTGGGCAATGAGATGAGGCGCCCCTTTTTTTCAAATGCTCCTGTGATTCGGGTTGTGGGCAAATAATCTAGACTGGCTCTTGTCTGAAGAAGTGGATTTCACGGTGGAATAAAATCATGAAGTGGACTCATCGATTGCGGCTGAAAAATATTCCCAATAAGCCCCTTCCCGAATGAATTTCAACGAAAGTGACATTCGAATAAGCATTTACATGCTTGGCAGACACCATCCTCAGGCACATCACAGCGCAACCATCAATCCCCTCTCATCACACGATCCCCAAGCCCCGCATCACCGGTTGATCGTCCCGCCAAGCCTCGGGATCTCTGGTACGCTTAATCCTTGGCCACGATATCTGACAGCCGACAGGCTCAAAACTCTCCGCAAACAGCCATCTCAACGTTGCATTACTACTTCTAGTTATCACTCGGAGGTTTCTTCCCCATCAAACTGTCCTTCAACAGAATGCGAACGTGTGGCTTCCATCCGTGACCGAGATGGTGGGAACAAACACCAGCGTCATCTCGCTTACCGCAGAAATCATCGCACATTGCTCCCCCGTCGAAATGTACCTCATTTCATTCCGTAGACTGCTGACTCGAAGATTTTGCATGCGAAGAAAGTTCACAAAGTGCGAATAGACTTTTATGAATTAGACACAAACACATGCATGAAAATAAGCTTGAAATTCGGAACTGAAACTAAAAACCAACCCGCGACCCACCCTAAACGCCGATCCCAAATCGCAGATGTCATTCGCAACATCAAAACCAAAAAAAGCAGAGAATAGATCACCGCCACCTAATCCTTCACAACCCAAAGACAAACAACCGGCTTTCCCCCAGGCTGCCCCGTCCTCGTCCCATCCCACCCCACATCCTTCAAACACTTCTTCATCATATCCTTATCGTCCCCGGCAAAGCACAACCCGCGGTACCACTTCCCGTTCCCCGCCTGCACGATCTCGTAGCACTTGTTCTTCTTGGGCACGGGATTCGTCGCGCCGAAGCCCTTGAGCAGCTCCGCCAGCGACGTGTTGACGGGCACGTGGAACGCCGCGAACTGGATGCGCGCGTTGGCCGGCAGCTGCCACGGCGGCGTGGTGCTGCGGAACACGTGGATCTTGGTGTGCGCGGCCGGGAAGAAGTAGTTGTACCCGGGCTCGCAGCCGGTGCCGCCCGTCGAGTTGGAGAGGTGCGCGGCCGGGTTGCGCGGGTCGAGCGCGGGGAGGGCGGCGGCGGTGGTGCGCGCGAAGGGGTGGGCTTGGCCGGAGGGCTGGAGGGGGTAGGTTGTGTAGCCGCCGGGCGGGGGCGCGGAGGGGGTGGACCAGGAGTAGGATGTCGCGCCGGGGTAGGGCGAGGCCGGGGGTTGGTAGTAGTATTGGGGAGGCTGGTAGGAGTAGCCGTAGGAGGCGGAGGTCCAGCCCGGGTGGGGGATGTAGGGCTCGCCGTAGCGGGGGAGCTGGTAGCCGGTGTTGGGGCCCCAGGGGGGCCGGCGGGCGTCGGCGTCGGGGCCGTTGACGGGGTTCGACATTGTGTTAGACGAGGTGGTGATTTGGTTGCCAGGTATTTACCCAGTTGTTGATTCGGGGGTCGTACTGTGTGACCCAGTAGCCGGGGACTGGTCCTGCAAGCGTTGGGTCCCAGAGGCGGTGGTCGTGAGTTGAGGCTGAAGTGTTGAAACGGAGGCTGTTGGAGAATCGTGCAGTCAACTCTTGTTCTGCGGATGAGCCTGGAGGGTGTAAGCTGGCAATTTATAAGACAGAATGTGCTTGCAAGCACGCAGTGAATAAGTCTGTGTAGATGGCAGTGACTCACCCGAGTCAGACGAGGAGATTGATTGCGAATCTGTCTGGTCGCCGCGTGTGTCGCGCTGAAAGGCAAAGATTTCGGTGCTCCAGACGGGGTTGTTGTCTGGGTCGTAGAAGGTCCCGACGATGAGCCAGCCCCAGTGCGGAGGATCGCGCGAGCAGATGTAGTACTGGCCGATGATCAACTTGGTTGCGGGGTACGGGAGGTACTCTGACTCCTCTTCGGAGGAGTGTTGGGAAGCCACGGTGACAGATGATGAGTTGATGAGGTGGACTGAAAGGTGAAAATGCAGCTGGAGAAGAGGCTTTTGTGTGATGTTGGTGTTGGCATATTCGCGATAGAAGCAGAGAATGACAACAAATTTATAACAGTCTCGGGGTGAAGCTGTGTGAGTGAATCATTGACGTCCAGAATGACACCTGTGATGGAGGGTGATGACGAAGCCGGATCGCCATGAGACGAAGGGTCATTCGCGGGCGTGACATGCTGGATGCTGCTTAGTCCTGGAATATCGTGATGAGATGAATTGCAGCTGACGTGCATGTCGATGAATCACCCCGACTGGATGCGTCCTTCAAGGTGCACAATTGACCCGACCGCGACGATTCAGTCGCAAACTCGACTCGCATGCGATTCGCTCTGAGTCCATGTTTGGTTGATTGTGATGTATTGCTAGCTTGAGTGGTGTGGCGCGAAGGTGGCGCACCATTTGTGGCTGACGCCGACGCCAAATGCCTTTGATTTGGTGAGGCCTGTCCTTCCGCCAATGAGAAGCTGTCCCTAGCTGAGCTTCCAAGTCTCCACCTCGCCATCTTTGATTGGCAATCTCGCTCTGAAGTCGCGATCGTCGTCAATCGTGCTGGTGCATTTCCGCTTTCTCGAACGCCCTACGTATTGGCGAGTGATTGTCCGCCGCTGTTCCGTCTCTTGGTTCCAAGTCTGTGGTGTAGTGGTGACCAGTGAGCAAAACCTGCCTGCAAATCGAGAACCTGCCAGGCAACTCGACTGCTTCAACGGTGGGGCGCAGTCGACATGGGTGCCTAACTCCGGCATTCCCGCGTTGCTCGCAGCTCTCAGAAGTCCCCAAACCGCCGCTGGGCTGTCCTCAGCCCATCCAGCTCATCGTGCTCGTGTAAACATCCTCCTCCACGACTGCCCGCTCAATCCTCCACCTCGACATCCTCCTCAACAACCCTCACGCCGCCCGCCTTCTTCAGCTCCTCTACCTCTCGCCTGACCATCTTCCGCCTCTCCACCTCCGTGACCAAGCCCTTGAGGTACACCTCCGCCTGCACCGTCGCGCTGTAACTCATCGCCGTCCAGCTCCACATGTTCCGCCTCTCCGCATCCGCGCCGGCAGCCAGCAGCGTCCTCAGCACCAACAGGTTCCCGTTCCCACTCGCAAAGTGCAGCGCCGTGTTGCCGTCCAAATCCGCCCTCTTCACGGCGTCGCGCGCGCCGCTGGGGACGTAGGTCAGCAGGATCTGCAGGACCGTGTCGTGGCCGCCGCGGGAGGCCTCCATGATGGCGTCGCGCCAGCGGATGTCGCGGCGCAGGATGACGTGCGGGGTGCGCTCGCAGAGGAAGTGGACGACGTCGGTGTGGCCGGCGGTAGCGGCGAGCATGAGGGCGGTCTGGTGCGACTCGTTGAGGGCCGGGTCGGGGTCTTCGTGGCCGGCGTCGAGGAGGACGCGGCAGATGGGCAGGTGGCCGAGGGAGGCGGCGAGGTGGAGGTTCGAGTTGGAGAGGCCGAGCGGGGAGGAGTCGGGGTTGTGGAGGAGGCCCGGGTGGGATTTGAGGATGCGCTTGACGAGGAGGGGGTCGTTGGCCGTGATGGCGCGGCGGACGCGGAGGGAGGGCTCGATCCTGGGGGGTGGTGGTTAGCTGGTGTTACGTCACTGGCGGGTGTGGGCGATGCGTACATGGTTGTGATGAAGAGAGGTCTAGCAGGAGTGTTGACATGTAGTGGTGGAAGGTGTGACCGTAGGCATCGCTGTCGGGAAGAAGAAAAACGAAGGGCGTCGCGATGGTGGTGGTGGTGGGCGGGAAGGAGAAGGGATGGCAGGTTAGAGTTGGGATGAAAGCGGGAAATTGGGTTGGTGACAGACAGGAGCTGAACTTAGCTGTGGCGGCGTGGGAAGCCCCCTGAAAACGGCAGGGATGGCCAAGGGGCAGCGGCAACCAGGTCGTATTAGCGGGGGAAGGCGGGGGCTTTTTTGGGAGGTCAGCGTCACTGCCCCTCGGTCGCCGGGCTCACCTTGGTGGTTTCGGTGAGGACCGTGCAGACCGAGCTTGTGAATGAGGGATCATTGACTTTTGATCTGATGCATTTGACAGGACTGATTTTGAGCTTGTAGCATTTGGTCTTTTTTTTTCCCTCGCTTTTTCTTTGAGCCTTTTTCCTCCATCCGATGAAATCTCAATCACCTACTCAGGTTCACCCAGCATCATGTTGTGGCTGTTGTGGCGGCGCAATGTGGCTGGAGCAAGTATAATCAATCAGAAACCGAATTGATTGAATCTCAATGCCGTCTCGACACGCTTCGTCTCTATTTAACTCTAGACTTTTTATCCGTCCAAATCAAAAATCAACCTCACGCAGCAGCCGCATACGGCGTGCCAAAGGGCTGCAGCGTCGTGCCCTCAATGTCAATGTACCCGTACTTAGAGCCATCACTGTTCTCCGCCATGCCCTGCGCCCACTTCTGCAGCGACTTCTCAAACACCTCCTTGTACTTTTCCTGGCTGACATCCAGCGGCTCCTTATCCTTGCCCACCAGCCGGATCCTGCATCCCAATCAGCAAACTCATCACCAAAAACATCATCAGACAGAATAACTTACTGCGTGCCAGCCAACATATTCGTCAGCCCGAAATCATCCTCCCCAAGCAGCGTCTGCACCGAGCTGCCCGCCTTCCCCTCGATGATCTTCTTGGGCAGGTCGAACTCGTTGCACACCGGCCGCGCCAGACCCACCCCGTGCACCGTCTCCAGCGCCTTCACCATCGCGCCCACCGTCCGCAGCCCGCCAGTCACATACACCCTTGTCTTGCGCAGCTTGCCCACAATCTGCTCCGCAAACTCCAAAAAGAAGGCCTCGCGCTTCTTCGTCGACTCGCGCTTGTGCTCGAACGCCAGCGACTGGTACGTCCCGCCCGACAGCTCCACAAAATCAAACTTGTGCTCCTCCAGCAGCGCGCACAGCTCGCTGCAGTCCTCCGTCGAGAACCCGCCCTCCTGGAACTCGACCGAGTTGACCTTGATCCCGATGCTGAAGCTGGGATCCGTCACGCGCTCACGAATGGCCGCCGCGATCTCGAGAATGATCTGCGCGCGGTTGGCGAGCGACCCGCCGTACTTGTCCGTGCGCTTGTTCGTCGTCGGCGAGAGGAACTGCGCGAGCAGGTACCCGTGCGCGCCGTGCAGCTGCACGCCGTCGAAGCCCGCCTTGTAGCAGTACTCGGCCGCGTGCGCGAACCCGCCAATGACCTTGTCAAAGTCCTCCGGGCCCATCGCGCGCGGCTTGCCAAAGGTCATCCCCATCACCTCGCCCTCGAGCTGCACGTCGCTCGCGGAGATGGGGTGCGGGTTGATGTTGCTCGAGACCTGGCGGCCGGGGTGGCTCAGCTGCGCGTGCACCAGGCTGCCGTGCTTCTTCGCGGCCTCGGCGACCTTGCGGAAGCCCTCGAAGCGCTCGCCTGAGAAGGGCGCCGCGGGCGGGATGATGGGGTTGCCCGCGGCCTCGAGCTGGTCGTAGTCGATCATGACGTTGCCGGTGAGGATGAGGCCGGAGCCGCCCTCGCCCCAGCGGCGGTAGACGTTGACGAGCTCCGGGGTGGGGACGCCGCGGGCGGAGGGGTTGGCGGGGTCCCAGGTCGAGAGGCGCTCGGTCATGGCGCCCTTGAGGAAGCGGTTGGGGGCCGTTTTGCCCGAGAAGGGCAGCGGGAGGGGCGCCGCGAGGGGGGCGGGGTCGACGGTCTCGGAGGGGTATCGTGTTGGTGACATTGTGGTGTTGGGGGTGTTTGTCTATGGTAAGAGAAAATTGAGAAATTGACGGAGAGAATCAGCGGTCTGGCAGGTTTTATGTCCAGCTGCGATGGAAGCCCAGTTTATTCCACATCTCCTGGGCGAAGCGGAGCAACTGACGTGCCATGATTTGAAACCGCCCACGATGCTTTGTAATGGATCTTCGCCCTCCCCTCCCACGCCACCATGAGAGCATTACATTCTTTAGCGTTGGAAACTCGACGGGGGTGGCCCTTCTAGACGGCGGTCGGGTGCGAAGTGCGGCCCGGCAGCGTCTGCCTTAGCGCCGTGCCCGCTCGGCATTCGGAGGGTGCCCCTCGGGGCTGCTCATTGGCTCACGCGAAGCAAACACCGAACTGAAAGGAACCCACATCTGCCGTGGACGTCCGTGGAAAGGAGAATTAGACATGCTGGATTCTTGCAGAATCGCATCGGGCCTCGGCAGCTGGTGTGAAACTGACGAATCGGAGCGGCGATTGGCGAACTGGAGGGGAGTCGTGTGCGTCATGGTGTGGGGGGCCCCTGTTGCTGCCTGCGGTGAGTGACTGCAGTGCGATGCACCAAGCTTTCCGCCCGTGAGATTTCTAATCTGACGACCGCGGGCGCGGGAATCTATCCGTCTTGAGGCTCGGAGTTTTAGTTGATGCGCCTTAGTAGGCTTCGCCTTAGGGCGTGCTGGTTCTTGAGGTCTGATTTAACTTTCCTTTTCATGGTGGATAGTGAGTTGCGATTCAGGTGTTTTGAGTCCTTTGAGAAATGGAGGCGCTGATGTCATTGCAACGAACGAATTTGTCACTGTTCGAACAAAGCCTCGTCATGAACCAATGCGCGCTAAAAAAGGAGTAGAATGAATGAAACGCATACGGTGCCCGGCTGCCCTACTTACAGTTCCCCTAGAATGGATGCATGGTGCATGTAGTCGAGTTATTCCAACCAGCTGTAGTCACCAGCTCCATGGTTGAGGCATGACAACAAGACAGAAAGTTAGACGATTGAAGGTACAAACAAAAAGATGCGCCGAGGGGGAATCGAACCCCCGGCTCCCCGACGCTGCTCGATGGCAACGGAGAATTTTACCACTAAACCATCGGCGCGGTATCTCTTGAACCCAATTGCGGGTCCTCGATGGACGTCGTGGTGGCGAAGCGGCTGAACTTGCTGTCCTTCGCAGAACATCGCGAAATCCCAGCAGAGATCCATTGGCGGGATCAAAATCGCATGAACTCTTGCTGAAAGACACATCTGATGAATTCGATCCAAAAACTTCAAAATTTGACATTATAATCTCGGCATATCTAAGCCCACTTGACCGCCACATTCCACACCCGCCTCCCCCTCGCATCCAGCGCCTTCTCCGTCGCACCACTCACACCCCTTTCCTCGCCCACAGGCAACACCACGTCGACGCCCTTCTCAGCCCACAGCGGCTTCCACTTCGCCCCGTCACCCGCGACAACCTCGCCCCGCACCGCAACCGCAATCTCACCACCCACAATCTCGTACGTGACGGTGAACTTGTACTCGGCAGGCTGCTCGCGGCTGATGCCATCGTCCTCGAACCAGGCGTCCTCAAACACGACGCCCTTGACGTCGTCGTCGGACACGCTCTCCACCGTGCCGTCGCCGCGCTGCACCGGCGGCGGGAAGATCTCCACGCCGCGCCAGTCGTCCTTCGCCGTGCCGGGAAACTCCGGGTCCTCGGCCGCCGCCGCCGTTGTCGGGAGGGGTTTGCCCACCGGCACGGCGCCGCCGATGCGCGCGAGGACGGGGATGGAGTTGTACCACGGCGCGAGCACGGTGTGCCACTCGCCCGCGGCGAAGTGCTCGTACGGCGCGTTCGTGTTGAGGAACCCGAAATCCTGCGCGGCGCCGCCCTTCTTGGGGAGGTACACCCTCGCCGAGTCCGCGCCGGGCTCGTACACGCCGCCGATGAGGAGCGTGTCGCCGAACCAGTACTGCGTGTCGCCGGCCTTGACGGCGGGCGTCCACACCTCCGGGTCGGCCTCGTAGCCCCAGCCGGTCCAGCGCTGCGGCGGGACGGCGGTGGCGTGCGCGCGCAGGTTGAGGGAGTAGGTGTAGGGGACAAGCTCGTAGCGGCGCTTGACGGCGGCGCGGATGGTCGGGGTGGCCGCAGGGTACATCCACGGCTCGATGACGCCGCCGACGAGGTTGTCCTCGTCGGAGGTCTTGAAGCAGTTGATGGCGAAGCGGGGCGAGTGCACGCCGAGCTGGATCCAGCGGACGAGGTGTTCGGGGGTCGGCTGGGGGCCCTCGAAGCCGCCGATGTCGTGGCCGTAGCAGTGGAGGAGCGAGAAGGAGGCGTTGAGGGCGAGGGAGTTGCCGCCCTTCATGGACGCCCAGGCGGTGACGTTGTCGCCGGACCAAGAGCTGCCGCAGTACTTCATGGTGCCGGCGGTGGCGCTGCGGGTGAGGACCAGGGGGCGCTCTTCAGGCTTGCCCTCGATGGTGGCGTCGTGGGAGGCCTTGCCCATGAGCTCGGTGTGGATGGCGCGGCCCCAGATGCCGACGTCCTTGCGGTCGAGGCCGGCGGGGATGGGGACGAGGTCGGTCTTCTCGAGGGCGCACTGCCACTGGTCGTCGGGGACGGTGTACTCGTTGTTGTCGTTCCACATGACGTCGATGCCGACCTTCTTGAGGCCGACGACGCCGTCGTACCACCACTGGTAGCCGGCGTTGCTGGTGAAGTCGATGTGGCTGCCCTCGCCGCTCTCGCCGCCGCCGGCGCTCCAGAGGCGGGTGACGGCGGTCCTGCCGGTCTTGGGGTCCTTGAAGAAGGCGCCGGCGTCGGAGAGCTTCTTGTACTCGGGGTGGGTGGCGAGGACGTAGGGCTTGATGTTGGCGAGCAGGCGGACGCCGTGGGCGTGGGCCTCCTTGGTGAAGGCGCGCGGGTCGGGGAAGCGGTGGCGGTTCCAGGTGAAGACGTTGCGGGTCTTGGGCTCGACCTCGGCGACGGTGTAGCCGGAGCTCATCTGGAAGGCGGTGCAGGGGATGTCGTGCTTCTCGCAGTTTGCGATGAAGCCCATGATGCAGTCGTGGGCGCGCGGGGAGTCCTCCATGCTGTACTTCATGCCGCCGCCGATGTAGCCCATCATATAGCGGGGCACGCGCAGGGGGAAGCCGACGAGCTCGGCGTAGGAGCGGACGACGTCGGCGACGGTCTGGCCGACGATGATGTACTCCTCGAGGCCGCCGTGGGCCTGGCGGTGGACCTTGTAGGCGCCCCACATGCCGTCGAGCTCGGAGCCGATGGACCAGGTGGAGCGGGAGTGGGCGGTGGAAAAGATGCCGACGGCGCCGGCGTCCTGGGTGACGTTGATGAGGAGGGGGATGTGCTTGTAGAGGGGGTCGCTGCGGTAGGCGTCGTAGCCGAAGGTGTCGGAGGCGGAGATGGTGAAGCCGCGGCCGGAGAGGTCCATGGGGGCGGCCTTCTCGCCGAGGCCGACGTGGAGGGTGCCCTTCTTGTAGACGGAGTAGTGGGCGACGCCGGCGCCGTCAGCGGAGTAGGAGCGGAAGGGGAGGTCTTGGTGGAGGGGTTTCTTGGTGGTGGCGTCCTTGAGATCGATGGACAGGATGGGCGCGTTGGACCACTCGATGGAGGCCTTTGCGGCGGAGGTTGTGAAGGAGCGGGAGTTCTTGTCCGATGATGAGGCGACGTCCTTGGGGCACGAGTCGGGGCTCGGGCGCTGGGCGCTGGCGAAGGGGGGGATCGGGCGCGAGGCGGAGGAGTAGGTGGTGCGGAAGACGTTTGGGCGGACGACCTCGAATGTGAAGGTGAAGGGCTCGATCTCGGCGTCGGAGGACTGCAGCTGCAGCGAGGCCGGGGCGAGGGCGGCGCCCTGTGCGGCCTCTTGCGGCGCGTACTTTACCGGTGTTCTCTCGTTTTGGAGGAGCATTTTGGAGTGTGTGGTTTGGGTCAAGGAGCAACAAGCTCAAAGGCAGACGTCAATGTCTTGGTGCGTGATGCTTTTATTGTCGAGGAGGGGGAGGGGTAGTGGGGTGCTGCACACGCGCATTGGCGAATCGAGGAGAGTTACGTGACGGGTGAGGGGTTGTTGGGGGGACGGCAATGGCGACGCGTCTGGGCCGGTCTCGGGGTCTGTCGGCCGACATTCTGTGACGCTGGGTCGGATGGAGACCGAGACGAAATCAGCCAGTATGTTGAGGGAGGGTTAGAGTTGCCGGATCGTGAGCACGATGCCGTGGTGGTGTTGAATTCGTGACAATGACAGGCCGAAGAGGGTCGTGTCGGGATTGCGGGGTGTAATTGGAGAAGGCTCCCCCGACTTTTTGCGTGAACCCCACATCCCCAAGGGGAACGGCCGGGATGCGTGCGGGGGAGAGTCATGCTGTGGCCGTATCAGGAGCGAGAATCTGACTCGTCGGTGGGGGCGCGTCGCAATTATTGTGGATTTGGAGTGTCATGTCGGCGGCTGCTTTCCTGAATGGGGGCGGCACGTCGGCTGGATACTCGATCGAGGGCGGCATTCTCGACGGATGGCGGGAAGGCGGCGGGCTAACGAGAACAGGAGCGGGAACAAACCGGAGACACTTTGCTCGTGAAGGCTTTGATTCGGTTGGGGGACGCTTCGAATTGTTTATTACCTAGGCTAGTCTCGGGGTTCGCAGCGCACGTCGGAAACCGTCTCCCAGCTCTGGCTCGTTGCGTCACTGACAATCACTTGATTAGTTGCTCGACATGAAGCTATCCAGTATGTTTCAATGGCTAAGGTAATGCTTCTTTCCCCGCACTGCTCCTCACGATGCTTGCACCAAAAAGCTAGGCGGCTCGTTGGGGAAGGGGCCATCTCGTGAGTCGTAGCGCTGCTGCCTCACAAAATGCCAAAAAGGCCCCCACCCACGACATTGGACGAATGAAAAGGCCAGCTGGCGTCCCCGACATCCCCAAAGTCGCCCTCATTTCCCCGCGCGGAGAAGGGGCCCCGTGTTGCGGTGGGGGA